CACTAACTACGACAGGTGAAGATAAGTTGTGGGTGATTGGCTTATTATTGTGCATAGGAAGCTCCTGCACATAATGCCGGAGGTTTGTGGATCTAAGTGTGCGCTTAGAGTAGAGTGATCATCCTGATTTGTACCTGCAGCTAATCCATTATCAACTAGCTGTTAATAAATCAAAGTCGTCTAATCAGTGGCCAAATAATTTGCCCTATATTTATTCGCTTGACATCCTTGTGATGAGTTTAGTGTCGGTGGTTGATTTAGGTTATCACACTTATTTTGTACATATCTGTGATGATCTCTCGCACATCGTGTATCAACTATAGACATGATTGTCATGACCATGGCTAGTTCGTCACAGCTTTTTCTCGAGGAGACGAGGGCATGCCATTCGGCGCATATAACTACGTTAGATTGGTTGTTACGAGTGCGGGGCTGAACCGTGCCCCATATGTGTGTATATGTATATTTATATTCTCCTGCTTCGTCTGTCGCCTCTCGTCGTCAGACATGTGGTGGTGTCTGAAGTGATCCGACATGACCAAACCCGACTGTGAAATATATATCAGTCGATATAAGCCCTTGTTTCGCATCTGAGAGTTCCTAAACCACTGTGCTTACACCTGGGTTACAATGTTTGAATTGACGAGGCAGTCATCAGGACAAGGTACCAAATAATAGTGCTGTTTTTGTCGCGTTATTGACGCATCAGTCATCACTTTGTCAAAGGAAACGTCAGGGGAAGCAGGAAACGTTCACTTAGTGTAATAAAGTAATAAGTGTAACTACAAGCATGAAACATCCTTTGTGATAGGGATTATCGCTCTCCAAAACGTGTGAAATGATAAACAATAACTATTTGTGCGAATTCATGTTCCTTGTTCGAGAACAAATGTGCTTCGAATTCGCATCACGCCCCTATGTATAGGTAAGTGCTTTTGCGCCACTATTACGTGATTCTAGATAGCACACTTTGGTTGTCGAAACCATGCTTTTAGGAGATCAGGTTAAGCGCGCTGAACATGAATTACCACGAAAATCAAAGGGACTTTTGCTTTGGGCAGAATGGTCTAATACTGTCAAAGCGTTGCCCTAAGTCTAATTATGATGTCATTCACATTGCATAACATACCTTTTCTTTTGGCGCCATTTTTTGTTTAATATTGAAACTCGATTCGTGTAACTACGAATCCAAAGCAGCCCGAACCAGGGTGTGGAGCGCTATAACAGTTCTATCGGGCCGCGTATGATTTACCGAAATTCCTACGTCCGCCAAGTGCGTACGACGCATGGGCCTTGGGGAGTTCACCAACCGACGCCGTTTCCAAACTGACAAACGCTTTCGCTTCTCAGAATTGTAGGTATGTTATATAATGGGCTACGAAATAACTGGCTACGCCTACCACACGTTTCCGGTTATCCTGGCGCAGTTATTATATGGCGTTCTCGGCGGTTGGCGACCCGCCGTCATCCGTTCGCAGATGATAGCACAATGCATACCTCAGCGAACCAGGCATCCGGCAACACCCACGGCCTCGGAGCCGATCAACCGCAGATGACCAGCCACTCGGAGGGGAGGGATGGGTGGGGTGGGGTCACAGACCCCCCTCGAAATGTCAGATCCCCCAGAAATGTCAGATGGGAGCAGAGACAACTGTCAGAAAGATGTTCGTACTAAAGTTCCTCGGCTTCTGCGGTACAATTCTGCAGCAGCAAGCCCTGACATTCCTTCGAATGTGGAATCTCAGTGATCAAAATACCGATACGAATCTTTGAGGTAGACTGGCACAGCAAAGAACCTGTGGAGGCAATACGATAACGGATAAGCTGAGTTTGTGGCTTTGGAGCCGGGAGCTGCCGCTGAGTTATACCTGTATGACGGAAAGTGAGGGCATTTAATTGTTTTGTACCTACACCGTGTAAGCTATGTAGCACTGTCCACATTTACTATGTACACGCAGTCGCTTCATTGCAAGCATTACCAGTTGCACATTTATCCCGCGCGCAGACGGGGAGGGGCGGTTATCCGGCCCTTCCTGGGGTTTATCGTGAATATCGGAAATCTAGCGGACGTTTAGGAAGAAGCAGAAATTTGTCATAAATATTTCCACATCAGTTTCACAAGGTTTGCAGCTTTGAACCTCCTAACTTTCAAGTTCAGGTCACCAGGTCACTTTGAATCACCCGGCCTCAAATCACTTTTTTGCGCAACTTTGTCACTGCGTCAGACGTCAGAACTTCAGTAGATGACTGACTCCTTTGAAAGTCACAAAATGTAATATGGTCACTATTATAATAGCTACATTTGTAGGTACATCTTCGAATCTTGATACCTATTGATGACGTTAGGTGAGGTCAATTTCTTGACCTCCCCCTTATAGAGTCAAAGATGAAAAATAGATTGCCCCATTTTTCACTAAAATGCATCGTGATGGCCAATTATAGGTACCACAAATGACATCATTGATGACCCACCTTGACAACCTTGATGTCTTATTTGCTATTGGACAAGTGTAAGGTCACATGTGACGTCATCAAAGGTCACCAAACGTTTTTTTTTGCTAATAACTCTTTACAAAAACGAGATACCTACCTGACCTGACCTGACCTGAGGTCAACCTTGACCTTGACCTTTTGAGGTCAAAACATATCTGCTGCGATGCAGATTGACGAGAGGATTACGATCGTACTTTTACTTTTTATTTTTGTCTTAGCTTGGTTTACGTCAAAAGTTAAGCGCGAAAAAACTCGCTTGACCTCTGGCACCGCTATGTTGACTATTTTGACACAGTGACGTCATTTTACCTGACCTGAAAATTAGCTCACTAAAAGGTAAAAATTGTAGACCTTGCCGCCAGTATCCCAGGCCCTTTACCATTTGTCGATAGGTGTTATCACAAGTGTATTCGCGGCCATTGGGGCGACGTAAGAAAAGAAGAAAACAACTGGCCCCAAGAACTTTACATTACCAGTTAGCATGCACCTTTTCCTTGATGTGTAGAGAATTTACCATTAATTGTTAGAGAAATTGCGTTTAAAATCTTCCATTTATGCTTTTATCATCGTTTGCACAATATGTTCTTTTACTAAGCTAGAAACACTAATTAGAAATAGTTCCTGCATCATCAAGAACAATAGGGAAGGCTTGAAGTTAATACAATAATCTAAACGGTTTTGTAATCAATGTGAAGACACTTCTAAAATTGCCTGTAGAAATATTGAAGGCAAAAGTTCAACTTTTTCACAAGACTGATGTCTATAAACCTATTCAACGTGTGACAACTCAGCCGGTATTTCGTCGCCTACAGCCCAGCTTTCCCTAGTGACCGATAGAGGCGCTGCTATCGATGTCCGCCCGTGCCGCCTAACGTCGTCTGCTTGCTTCGTTCTCGAGATATCACAGGGGGATGCAGGTATCCGCTTCCCCCCCCCCCCCCGTCGGTGTGAAGTTGGCGTGGACCCCCGTCGGTGCGTGGGTTATCCTTCGCCCCAGTGGGGGGGGGGGGGTATATGTTACCACCCTGTCGCGTTTTTCGCGTGTGAATAAAAAACCGCGGCGCGTAGCGCCGCGCCACTAGGGGTAGCTTTTGGTACATCAATTTTGGACAATGTGTGAAATTTTTGACCCCAGGTCATGTCAGGTCAGGTCACCAGGTCAAGTTAACTGACCAAGCCTTAAAAAAGTTTGCAATCATGTCCAGCCTGCAGTGTTTGTCAGAAAGGTTTTAAACTTGGTGGATTGCATGCTGTTATAGGAGCCTACAATTTGTATATCTCGGATTTTTTTATATCCGTGACCTAAGGTCAGGTCAGTGGCATGACCTTTCCATTACAAGTCAATGGAGAAAAATGAAAATGCCTCTAGATCCGTGTGAACGCATAGGAACAGTCCAAATATTTCAGAATCACAATGATTTAGTCCACTCGTGATGACCAAGGTGTCATTTTTGCTGATAGCCTCTAGAAAGGTCATCCGAGGTCATTTGAGGCTACAAACAGTTTTTTGCCAATAACTCGCGATTGGAAAGAGATAGAACGCTGGGGATGGTCTCATTGTGTTTGTCTTGTTGAGACGCATCGACTGATATGCAACATAACCTTTTCCGGTCAGGTCATGACCTTGACCTGAGGTCAAATTTTTAAGTTGACCTTTCAAGGTCAAATTATAGTTCATTCGACGCGTCTCGGTGAGGGGAACACGATTCTGGCAAAGAAATTTCGTGGTTTTTTGTAGTCGAAAGTTATTGTCGAAAAACACTTTTCGTAAAAATAGCTATTTTTGGAGTTTTTGCCCTCTGGAGGCTAAACCGTTGACCTGAGGACAATATTGATAATGACCTTTTCAAAAGAAGAGTTCAAAAGCTATCGATTGCTATTCCATGCGTTTTTCTAGCTACCATACTTCCTGAGATAGCGGCATGTTTTCTGAAAAATATAATGACAATTTGCAAATTTTGACATTTGATGACCTCTGGTGACCCCAATATTGCTCTAAGGTGAAAAATGACCGAAATACTTTCAAACGTACGTATTAAGAGCTATCGACTGCTTTTTACTGCGTCTTTCTAGCCCTCTTAGTTTTTGAGTTAGAGGTGGGTGCAGGGTGGTAACATATGCCCCCCTCACTAGGGCGAAGTTGGCCGAGACCGCCACTGGGGCGCGGGTTATCTCACTTTTTTAAGCACATTATCTCGCTGTCAACACATAACACGACCCATATCAATGCGTTTCACTCGTGTATTGCTCACAATGGTCATAGGTTATAACAATCCGATGTAAGTACATGGTTTCGGCCGAGGTTTGTGTGATAATTGACTAGTAAGGCACTTGTAATGTGACAGAAAACAAAACAACTACAACAATGAGTTCGGCGCTAACATAGTCCAGTTCCCAGCACTCAATATATCTGCAATATACATATATCCCTCTCGGGGTTTCTGAGGAACAATACTCGTTTTGTTATCACAATGCTCTCCAGCTGGAGCCTGTTTTGTAGATTTTTATTGTCTTTTTACCTACCCACTAAAGCATCAACTCTGCACGCGTGTCGCGCCGCTGCTGCTACTGACATGTCACGGGTCACTGTGCCGGTAATTAGGTCACTGTGACCCGGTCAATAGCAGCCAGCGGCGCAACTTGTCCCGTCAAAACCGGCGCAGCACCACGGGTCGGTATGGATGGACAGTCACCAACGTGCGTCCAGCGTTCGTTCGAACAGGTTTGCACAGTCGCCCACGCAGCGGCGAACTCAGTGTGAGCGGATCATCACTGTCAGCCTGGAATCTGTGTGTCGGTGAGCTAACAGATGACATCTCTCACAATCCGGTCTCTGACGGGACAATCAGGAGGCAGGGCCAAGTCCGGCCAGGTCATCAGGGATCGGGGTGCTTCAGGCCGTCCGTCGGGGCGGGTCGGTGACCAGTTTCGGCTGGGTCATCAGGAAGGGGCAGCTCAGAGGGCGGGGAGGGGCCCCGGCCGGCGCCACCGCCACAGCGAGGGGGCAGGACGGCGGCGGCACGGGCGGCTCGGTCCTACTCGGACTGAGCTGTGGGTGTGGGTATGTGCCAGATCTGGCGGAGCAGCTGCTGGGAGCGCGCACTGAGACGACCCAGCCTCGCGTGGCCGTCCTCGGCGTCTGCGGCGGCAGTGGCAGCCTCAGCAGAACCGTCTGTGGTACCGTCCACCGCCGCCTCTGTGTCCACGTCTTCTGCACCTTCTGCGACAACTGCTGTGGCTGCGCCTCCCTCGGCGCCTCCTGCGGTATCGGGCCGGGTCTCTGCGCCAGCAGCGGCCTCCGGCGGGGCCTCCTCGCCCTCCGGAGCGTCAGCGGGGTGCTCCGGAGGCGGCGAGTGCACCCGCACCTCGACCGGAGCCCGGACTGCCGGCCCGTCCCGGTCCTCCGCCGGCGCCGGGGACCCGCGGACAGTCGCCGACACCTCTCTGGCTGGGACACTGCGTGGTGGGGAGATGGGAGGTCGAATGGTGATCAACATACAGTGTGCATGTGTCCGTGATGTTAGTCACTGAAAATGACTTAGCTGAAATAAACAACTGCGAGGTATCGTTATCGAGACCACATGTTTTAACAAAAAAAAAAATGTCAAATAATTACGAGTAAAACTATTTAGCATTTACAGCATGTTTCTGATGTACCTGTTTCACATGAGGGTGGATTAAAACATAGGTATAACTCACTGATCTGCTGGCTGGCTGTCATCCGGCGCCCCGCCGAGCCGGTGGACCGGAGTGAGGTCCGCAGCGCCCGGCGGACGGGCCTCTGCGCCGCCAGCGGCGCCCTCTGGGAGGTAGGCGGCCGCCGCCGGCACGCCCAGGGCGAGGAACGAGGGCGCTGTGCTCGGCACGTATGCCTCGCCGGTGACCGGGGAGGGCGCCACCTTGGCGCTCCTGGCCTCCCGGGGTGCGGCGGGCCGCTCCTCCCGCGGTCCATCGGCCCCGGCATCGTCCTCCGGGACGGCGGGGAGCGTGGGGTCGAGACCCGCAGCCGGCTTACGGCGCATCCCCAGCATATCCTGCCGAACGCGGTATACGGTCAGATACTTTGACTGAACAGACACGGACCACAGCGATCTCCAGTGGGCGCTGTCCGGCAGTTCTGTCTCCCAGTGAACATCACTGAAACATCCACTCAAAACAATGGCAGGCACATAGAGGAAGCGGTTTAGACGAGCCTCGTCCACACAAGGGAGGCTCCCCTGCCCGTGCCCCTCCCCTGCCCGCTCCCGGGCAGTCCTCCCACTTGCCGCTCACCATGACGATGCCCTTGCAGAAGTCGAGCAGCTCGTACTGGTTCCGGGCCTCCTTGAGCTCCTGTTTGACGTCGGTGAAGGAGTCGCCCAGGATGGCCAGGAACATATTCAGCACGATGAACGTCATGATGAGCACAAAGGCCAGGTAGAAGCAGACGCCGAGGCCGCCGTGCGTCTCGTACATCGTCTCAAAGTCAATGTCGCCTGCCAAAATCAGCAGACACCGGTAATATGTACACAGAACGGCGAACGCCTATCATAGATTTCAACACTGCCTCTCAGTCGTGATCTTGCATGATAGAGGGTGGTTCTCGTACATAAATCCTCGTACCTTGCAAAATAGGGCGTGCAATGAGTAAAAAGTACGTGTTAATAAGTAGCAATACGTTACAACCATGCATGCTAATTACATCAAATGCATCACTTGTGCATAAGCACAGCAATATTACAAGTGCGCTGAATTTTTTAACATTTCTTTTTCAATCAATTCCTGATAGACATTAGACTGCAACGTAACAAAACTTACCGAGCAGATGGGTGCAGAGATTTTCCACCGTAAACATGAAGTTGTTGTACAAATTCATGCTGGTGCCAAATGCTGGAAACAGAAAACCCAGATTTATAGGTAAGACATAGACAAAGCAATCAATGCATCAACATTTGGGACATTACACCTCAAATAATTCCAAAGTTCGTCCCAATGCTGACCGCTCATAGAGGTTTTATGCCTGCCTAGGTGCGTCACTTAGGCATGATGACGGTGTTTTTGTCCGTTTTATATTAGTGATAAAACTACTTGTTTGGTGATTGTGGGATTGTGGGATGTGTATGCATTGTCGTATGTCGAAACTGCTGGTTGCGTGTCACGTCACATAACAGAATGAAATATAATGCCGCTTATATTTCTGGTTGAATGAGCGTCATTTTGATGTAATAATTGGTTGCGGAGGTATCGCAAGCCTGAAGCCCACGAGCTCAGCGGGAGAACTGCTATTTCAGCGCTATTTCGCATTGGGAACAAGCCGTTGGTAGCAGAGACAATGGAGACAATAACGAAGAGGGCCTAGACAACGAATTCAATATTAGAGTTCATAGACTTCAAACCTGTTTTTTTTTTTCGGAAAACAGATTACTTTGTGCGGCATAAGGGAAATGCTTTTGCAGCAGGCACAGGAAGTTGTTAAAGACGAATGGGACTAGGAGCCGTACTTCAAGCTGGTTACTTTCTCGTGACAACCATTCTAGCTATTGTCTGTGTTCTGTACATTATTCTCATATACAGAACGTACAACAGAAAGGAAGTCAAGAGAATACTACGCGAGGATGAATTCTGCTCGAAGAAAAGACGTAGAAGCGGGCCCGTTCATAACAAAAACAGTTGAACCACGCCAATATCTTACAGTTGGAATCATAGTGTTCTCAATTCTTTTCACGCTGTCTCTTTGCATGATAATGATAGTCTATCTTCCTCCAAAGCGCGAGGCCAGGGGAGGATTACAGCACGACAGCATCGGCTGTGCCGAAGGGCCATCGGGCCCTCTCTCCAGTCACCAGGTCAGAGACATGAGGAACTTTGTGCGCTACCAGTTCCCATCCAACTACCGCGTGGAATATCGCTGCCGCTGGCTGGTCAAGGAGACCAGAGATAGCGCTGACCGACGCAAGAAGAGGACTCTGGAAGAGTCGTGATCAACCGTGTCTTTGATTACACATGTGGTGTGACTTGTGTTCGTGTGTCCATACGTTCTAGTTGACGTTGTCCCTGTGTGTGCGTGATTGGCATTAGACAGTTGGCAAAGCTGCCGCAATGAGCGAGTATTTGGCGTTCTCCATCTTTCGCCCCGCCCTGCTTCACCGCCTGAGCATCATCGCCACCGTCGCCTTCACCGTCTACACCATCGTCTACACTGTCCCTCCGGCCGCGTCTGCCTCCGCGCTCTTACCAAGGAAGGCGAACTGGGCGAACGCCAGGAACGTGATGCAGAAGGTGACGGAGAAGTAGACGAGCTCCTTGGTGGAGCGCTTCAGCGTCAGCGCCAGCATGGACATGTTGGCGTTGAAGCGGAGCAGGTGCATCACCTCCAGGATGGAGACGAAGCAGACGAAGGCGATGAGGAACACGAACGTCTCGTTCCAGGCAGCCATCCGCTGCATGTTGATGAACTCGCCTGTCGGGTGAGGTGGGCAGGAGGGGCTACTGACAGCCGGTCTTTGTGAGGAGACTTGGTGGTGCTGGGCGATGTTATAGAAAGAGAACTTCTACACTTGTGCCGCAATGTTCACATTTGTATTCTAGAATGTAAATACAAATACTGTACGCTCTTTTACTTTTGTATGGCAATGACAAACCAACCGAATAGGGGCAGAGCAGTTCAATTAGATTCTAAAATTGGTAGCCATGCATTTGTTTACTCAAGTGCTCAGCTTTCTTTGTCATAAAATCCATCTCCAATGGTACAGTATCCGAAGCAGTTACACATCTTAGGTTGAGTCGATTCTCTAATTATCCTACATAGTGCCTCGTCCATTTTACTTTTATTAAAACGCGCTGTATACCTACCTTGCTTTTCGAAAAGATTTCCTAGGGCGACGTGAACATATATATTTTTCATCGCATACATGGCAATGCTTGTTATTGCCAGTATGAGCTTGATGAATTCTAAGGTGTTCCAGAACTCCGAGAAATACGCCATCTTTTGCTGAAACGGTCGGGACAGGAATGTGTCATAAACGTTCATGGATAGATCGAGAAACAGCAAAGACAGGCATGCTCCGGGAGCATCCTCAGATTCTCTCTAGAACACACGCAGGTTCCTAGAAAAACATCAGAGGACAGAATCGGCATGTATCATCAAATAATCCCGCAGACTGACCTTTTGGAGTTTCTTGATCTCGGTGACGAGAAAATACAGGACAAATAGGACGACGATGGCTTCACATACCATGATCCAAATGGCGTCTGGACCGACGTAGCTGCGGACACGAAAAGCCGGTTTAGCTTATGTAAGTCACATCAAACCTGATGATGACATCTTTATCGCAATGATGCAAGCCTGTCGCTGAAACAGAATCTCGCATTCGGTAAAACCGCCCCAAACGATCACCTATAACACCCGAGCGTGATGTCTGACGCCGTCGGCACTCACTTGAACAGCTGGAAGGTGGTGATGGTGTACGAGTTGAACGTGTTGCCCGAGTTGCTGAACTCGACCACCAGCGAGACGCGGCTGAACAGGTTCACGTACGTGTTCACCACGGTGAACTCGATGAACACGGCCCGGGTGAACTTGTCGATCCAGCCGTGCCGCTCGAGCTCGGCGAACAGCCGCTCGGTCTGCGCGCCGGAGCCGAGCAGATCGGCGTGGTAGCCGCCGCCGTTGTACGTGTTCAGCAGACCCCAGTGTGGCGCCCCTGGAGTGGGGGGAGAGGGAGGGGTGTTCAGCAGACCCCAGTGTGGCGCCCCTGGAGTGGCAGGAAAGGGAGGGGTGCTCAGCAGACCCCAGTGTGGCGCCCCTGGAGTGGGGGAGAGGGAGGGGTGTTCAGCAGACCCCAGTGTGGCGCCCCTGGAGTGGGGGAGAGGGAGGGGTGTTCAGCAGACCCCAGTGTGGCGCCCCTGGAGTGGGGGAGAGGGAGGGGTGTTCAGCAGACCCCAGTGTGGCGCCCCTGGAGTGGGGGAGAGGGAGGGGTGTTCAGCAGACCCCAGTGTGGCGCCCCTGGAGTGGCAGGAAAGGGAGGGGTGTTCAGCAGACCCCAGTGTGGCGCCCCTGGAGTGGCAGGAAAGGGAGGGGTGTTCAGCAGACCCCAGTGTGGCGCCCCTGGAGTGGCAGGAAAGGGAGGGGTGTTCAGCAGACCCCAGTGTGGCGCCCCTGGAGTGGCAGGAAAGGGAGGGGTGTTCAGCAGACCCCAGTGTGGCGCCCCTGGAGTGGGGGAGAAGGAGGGGTGTTCAGCAGACCCCAGTGTGGCGCCCCTAGAGCGGGGGAGAGGGAGGGGTGTTCAGCAGACCCCAGTGTGGCGCCCCTGGAGTGGCAGGAAAGGGAGGGGTGTTCAGCAGACCCCAGTGTGGCGCCCCTGGAGTGGGAGGAGAGTGAGGCGTCAGGGCGGGTAGCAGACCCAGGATAGCGCCCCTGGAGTAGGAGGGAGAAGTCGGGCGAAGTGCCAGACTCTGTACCCAGCGAAGCGACGGTATGCGAGCGTGGAACATTCAACCTCGACCAAGCGATCATCTCCGTCATGTCATCTTTCGCTGCGACCGTTGCTCACCGTCTAGATCCATCATCGACTTGTAGACCCAGGGAGACTGCATCTTGTCCAGCTGCTCCTTGGAGGTGACGTTGACGGGCACCCAGGACACGTTGTACGGCTGTTTGTCCTCCTTCGTCCACGAGTACTCCACGTTACACTCGTCGTGGAGGCTCCTCATGATGCCTGGGACGCTACACTGGTCTGAAACGGAGACCGAGACATGTTACCGCACTTGGAAACAGGAGCCACCATTCACATTTCACTCACTTCGGTACACGAGCAATGGCCGGCGAATAATATTTGCGTCATATCATTTCCTAGGTAAAGACTTTGAACAAACCATAGCCCACCTACAGCATCGCCAGCGGACAGATCAGCAGCAGTTTTATCTTTAGTTCAAAACATAAACACACCCGCCTCAGCTGAGAGCGCCGTCGGCACTGACCGGGTTGGATGCGGACCTGGCGGATTCTGGCCGGCCCCAGGCGCAGTGTCACCATGTCGGCCATGAAGGGCCGGTCGGCCGGTGCCAGACGATCGCCGTTGTAGTGCTCCTCCCAGAACACGGAGCTCACGTAGGTGCTCCTCAGCCAGGCGTAAAAGTGCCGCGGCAGCGAGATCTGCGCCGGACGGGGACCGTGAGGGGCTCAGGGGCTCGGCAGGGGACCACAGCGGGCGTTTGTAAGGTCCCAAAATAAAAACACTCGTGGGTTTATAAAGTACCTATAAATTAAAAGGGTTCGATGAAGCACTGGTTTATCGTAAAAACAATGTTTAATTAAATGAAATAAATGTTATATAACGTATGTTAAAATAGCAATAGAAAAAATCACAACATTTATTGAAACTACTCACCGACGTAAATCGTGAATCCACAAGCATATTCTTCAAGTTGTTATTGATAAGAAATGCATTTGGATTTCGATTTTGCTGCGCTAGAAAAAGAAGAAACAACAAAAACAGAATGTAAGTACACATCTGTTTCATGAGGAGAAGCATCTCCTTTTCTTCCAAGCGTTTTTGGCGAGCTCGTGCCAAAGCTTCGTGATCGATGGGGATAGCCGCCACCTTCTTTCGTCTCCCTGAAAAAAGATGCGCCAGGCTAGACATTATTTTGTCTAACTCAGTTCGAATGTGTGTGTGAGAAAGTTGTATCACTTCACAAAGTTCTAGTGAAGCTCTAAGCAGTGGCCAAATTACCCATCGCAGCGTCCCTTTAGCCGTTCCATCCCCCCTGCACCGCTCACAGCGCCCCTTAGCCGTTCTGCCCCCCCCCCCCTGCAGCGCTCGTGCAGCACGCACCTGACCGCGGCCGGCCGCCAACCAACTGCTCGTCGTCGGCCGGCAGCGCCTTCTCCAGGGCGGTCTCGTCGTCCACGGCCTCCGTGTCGGGCTTCTTGCAGAGGATGCTGAACACGAGCGCCACGCAGAACACCTTGGCCGGCTGGATGAAGCAGACGTTCTGCACCACGGAGAGCAGCATCGCCTTCAGCCAGCTGAGCGACTTGTCCCGGCCCCACTGCAGACTGCCGACACGGGGTAAGGGGGGCAGGGAGAGCGGATGGTCAGAGATGTATAAGTACGCATTAAAAAAAGCATGACTGCCGTTGTGGTCCAAACCGATGATTGAGCTTGGGTTAGCCGTATACGAGAAAATCGAGACAAAAAAGAATTAAAATAGCAGTCCGGTGTCTACTATCTATCAACATTAGCTGATCGTCTTCCAACGGAGGGACATGTCGAGCCATCATGTCAGCTCAGTATGACAGCCACACCCCCTCCAGCGCCACTCACCTGTACGAGAACACCATGAAGGCGGACGTGCCGGCGGCGCCGAGCACCAGCAGCCAGCCCACGTAGACGCACCAGTGCGGCAGCGAGCGCTTCTTCTTGGCCTTCCTGGCGCCGCCGAACGTCTGCCGCACGCGCTCCAGCTGCTGCTCGGCACGGCGCTCGGCGGCGCTGCGGCGAGGACGCGACATCCGGAATATTTTGTCGATCAGCAGTGACGGCGGCAGCACGATCACCGAGCCGATCAGCGACACCTGAGACAGGGAGATGCCCCGACATTAATTTAAAAAAAAAAATTATTGGTGAAAATTTAATGATAAGTGATATGAGCATCAAGCACCTAACGCAATATGTGAATAGCAAACGTATGACCCCAATAAAAGCGTTGATAGTTTGATAGACGTAACCTCCCAAATGAGTTATAATAGCCTCACCCAGATCTGGAAGGTGGTGATTGAGAAGAAGCCGAGGTTGAGCGTCTTGGATGTGGCCGGCTCGGTCTTGTAGAACATGGCGTTGACGCACATGGTGAGGAACATGAGCGCCATCACGACCGAGAGCCGCTGCACGCGCGTGTAGTTGGACCGCTGCGGCCGCACGAAGATGGAGACCCTGCGACACGCGCGGCGCCGTCGGCGGACAGGTGACGGGATCGAACGACCATCGAAATTTAGGCTCGCCTGCTACCTTGTCGCTAGCCAGGGTCTATTTCTGATTCAGTAGTAGGTTTTGCACGCAAAAAAAGGCATTTAAAACGTTGTAACAGAGGAGGATTTGCCATGTCTTTACACCACTGAGGTAGGTAGACTGTGCCGCAATGCGTCCGTGCGATGCGGCACAGAGGGTAAGACAGTAAGGCGATCTTCTTATCGCCCCTTTTCTCAGGAGTCATGCATCTATCGTGGCAAGGAATCTGCAATGTGGATCACCGAAATAAAAACTAATATATGTCCAGTGCGACCTAAGGAAAAACATCGTGGCAAGAGATAATAAACGCTGTAGACAAACTAAAAAATACAAACCAACTTTCAGCATACATCCCCAGACTGTGATAGCCGCGCCACAGTGCGGGGGTCCGGCGCTCACCACAGGTGTCCGTCGGTGAGGTTTTTCTTGGTGGTGCTGGAGAAAAGCTGAGAGAAGGAGGTGATCTCCTCGCGGCCCGAGCGCGGCACCATCCGCTCGATCATCCCGTCGTCCTCATCCACCGCCAGCCAGCGCTCACAGACGAAAAACGAACTGCAACGGGCCAGTTCAGGTCAGGTCACACCGCATAATGCCTAACGTTGATCCAGGATACTCGATAGCCGATGTCTAATGTAGGTATAAGAGACCATATATGTATAAGAGACCATATAATGTACCAGTAAAACGCCTTTTGGGCGAAGAACGAGCGAGCGAGATAGTGAGCCCTGCACGTGCAGAATGGCGAGAGGGTGCTTCCAACGGGCTTGTGCAAAGCACCCTTCTAACCGGTCGCTAGCGGTGTACCAAATTTGAACGCAATCGGCCCAGCCGTTCCTGAGATCTGGAAGCGGCATTCTGCACGTGCGCACGTGCAAACGGGGTCCAAAGTGACTTTTGCACGGCACCCTACTAACCGGTCCCCAACCGTGTACCAAATTTGAGCGCAATCGGCCCAGCCGTTCTCGAGATCTGGAAACGCCCCCTGCACGTGCGCACGTGCAGTAGCACCCTAACCGCAACACATGGGAATGCATTGCCTGGTGGGTGCCTACCTGTATGCCAAGTTTCAGTGAAATCGCCCCAGTAATTACCGAGTTACTGAAATGGGAACAAATTTGACCCCTCTTATTGTTGTATTTTGCACGTGCAGTGGGGGTCACTCACATAGATGAAGAGTATCCGACCTTTGGTAGAAGGGATGCAGCTACCCTATAAAAATGACCGCAAGACAATCGCTCAAGCCGCTGCTGAGATATGGGCCTCTCAAAATCACTACTTTTGCAAAACTGCTTGAACACCCTTGACTTTTCACGTGGCACGTGCCACGACGGTCACTGAAATGCATCAAAAGTAGTCAAATACGGGGTAGAAGGGATGGGGCTACCCAGCAAAAAAGACCGCAGGCCAATCGGTCCAGCGGTTGCTGAGATATAAGCCTCTCAAAAGCGTTACAGGCCGGGCCGGGCCGGGCCGGGGCGGGCCGGGCCGCTCATACTGAGATTTTTCCGTTATATTGAAAAGACTTCGCTTCGCTCGCTGCGCTCGCTCGCTCGTAATAAGAGACCATATATGTCACTTTTATCAATCGTATGATCAAAACCTCCCAGTCAAGCAAAAATTGCCCATTGTTCAACTGCGGTAGTTTTCGCGACCCCACAAAAAGCGTCCTTTATTTTTTAATTCAAAATGTTTGAACAGCGGCTAACCCCGTCCACGGGTCTCTCCTTTTCCAGTGTTACCCCCTGCCGCTGTGGTTGCCGCAGTTACCCCTGTCGCTGTTACCCCGCCGCTGCGACTGTCGCAGTTACCCCCGCCGCCCCGGCAGCCCCAGTCGGCCGGCCCACTCACACGGCGTCCGTCTGCAGGTCCTTGATGACCACCTTGTCCAGGTACCAGCCGGCGTGGCGGCCCGGACCCGAGTTGTCGTGCCACACGCGGATGTAGTCTAGGTGACCCAGCGGGCCGGACGTGCTCATCAGGAAGTGCACCACCGAGCCGCGGCTCAGCTCCTGGCGAACGGCCAGGAAGACGCGGTTCAGGTGGGTGGCGAGGGGCGGATAGGTTAGGTCGGAGTTCACAGGGCACGCCTAAAATGCATGAGGCTGATGGACAAGTCAGTGCGGAAAAATAGAATGAGTTGTCTAACCAAAACAGCTGATGGGACACTTATTCGTATCTAGCGACAAAGCACAGCATATCACAGCAACGGTAATTGAAAGTCCGACAATTTGGCCATTTACAGTTTGATACAGGCACTGTTGCAGCCCGGCCGGCGGCGGCCGCTCACCCGGGAGGTTCCGTCGGTGAGCCGGCGGACGCCGGTGTCGTCCCTGTCTCCGCTGACCACCAGACTGACCCGCGACCGGGTGCCGGCTGAGCCGCGCATCCCCGTGAACACCGTGGTCTGGTACAGGTAGCGCTCGTCGGCGGCGTTATCGCTCAGCGGCGTCACTCCCCACTGGAACAGACAGGGCCGTCATTCCCCCCACTGCACAGTGGGGATTTTTCCGATCTAGCGATTATTAATTCAAAATTTTTTTTTTGATTTTTGTTTATTTTTTGTGTCAGTAGGGCTAAGAAATGTCTGAATTTTTCATATATGGCATTGTTTTATCTGTATGTCCACAGCAAAACTAGGAAAAATGCGCCCAAAGTTCACACTCATGTGTGATTACTCAATGGGCTCAGCAAGGCCCGAAAGTATAGCTCAATTTCATTGTCCTGTCCTGTTGGTTTTAATCTTGCGAGGTCTCAAAGTTGCATATCGTCTGAAAGGCACCTTTATTAGGAATGGAATGGCAAACAGAAAGTATGCCACAACCTTACTAAGGTCACAAAAATGCCCTTTACAAAAAAACCTTACAGACACCATATTGAAGGAATGGTGTTCTAAATAAATGTAGGAAATCAACAATGTTCTCCACACTTTTCCACTCCGAAATATATCCTATCGAATTCGCCACTTTCTTTTGCACAAGACAACGCCTAGTTTGGCTGCCGAAACTTGCCTGAACACGGAATATTCACATTAGAGTATCTTAACACCCCACTCGAGGGCAAACAACACGATATAGGTATGTTCCGGACATAGGCGAATAATTTTACATCGTGATTTATATGATGCATATTTTCTGAGACACATTCATTAGGAATAGGATGACAAGCGTAAATTATACATACCGTAACCTTATTAACCATCGCACTTGTGGGGAGGGGGAGGGGGAAGGGGTCGGATAAAACCCCTTGGTTTTCCGCAAATTACTCGCGCCAAAAGCGGCCGATCGCGCCGAAACTTTCGGTACCCTCGAGATCATCAATTTTACATCTAACCTAAAAATTTCATGACTCTGACCCAACTGACCTTTGACCTGTGGCATATTTCTCGAGACCATGTTTGGCCGGAATCGCGATTCGGCGTATGCCAGCTCATATTATCCGCGGTTTCCAGTCTTTTTGTGGTTTTAAACGTTCAAATATGTGAAATGATGTTGGTGCCATGCATAATGGTGGGTGTCAAGGTCACGTGAAGGTCAAGTCAAGGTCATTGACCTTTTGATGACCTTGGTTCACTTTTTCGAGTTTTACTTGTTTCTAGGGTAGTTTTTGGTGCTGATTTCGATTTTAGCAGCCATTTGAATATTTACGAAGTAGTTCTAGTGCCTTCGTTCCATGTTACGAAGCTATCAGTAGTAGGTGACACTTCTATGGATGGCCGGCAGGACGCCTACTAATTGATCTAACCTGACCTGACCCGACCTGGCCTAAATGCATAAAGACATCGTCTGTGATCAAAACTAACATGAAATTCGTGATCAGCACCCCAAAATACCCCGTAACACCCTAACTTTGCGAAGTTTCAAGAGGTCTCGATTTCCCAACTTTAGTTGGGTACTGACTTGGAAAGGCAGCTTATGACCTTGGACTTTGAAATTAGATATATTCAGCCTAATTTCGTCATAGGAGGCACGCTTGACTTTTCCGCGAAGCTCTAGCTTGATCAGGGGCCAAACGGCTGAGCGGGGGGTCCAATTGAACCCCCTATACTATGTTGATTATGCACATTTACAGGTAAAATTCTCATTTTGGTAAAATTCTCACCAGGACACACCAGCCAACATCTGTGCACAATCTGGCTACAATTCTACCTATGGTTTGCCCTCTACGAATAAATACGTGCTAGATCGGAAAATCCCCACTGTGCACTGCAACAAACAGGCCAGTCTGTCTGCCTACTGGACGTAGCCACGGTCCATGCGCCGCGCCGGCTAATGCTGTCCCCCACTGACCCCTGGTACCCCTCCCTGACCTTCTGGACGTCGCGCCGGTCCATGCGTCTCGCCCAGACGACCAGCACCAGGTAGATGGCCACGCAGCAGCACACGAACACCAGCACGGCGAAGTTGTCGCGCAGCTTGGCGCCCAGGTTCGAGTAGGCCGCCGCGAAGTCGATGGTGTTGGGCGGCACGGCGAAGTCGCTGCCGAACGCCGTCAGATGGTTGCAGAGGCAGTGCGCGAAGTGGGTGTTGGTGAGCGGGCTCACCTGAGAAATGCCAGGGAGAGGGAGGCAGCGCAGAGTGTCAGCGAGTTTCTGCACCGAGTGTTGCTGACTGGCGACCGGTAATTTCGCTGCAATGCTCGTCTTGATTCTCACCGTAAATTATGGTTCCATTTTTGCAAGGCTTGCTCAAGTTATGCCATTCAAATAGAACATTTTTTCCCAATAAGTTTCGATCAGGAACAAAATTAAGAGGTCAGTCAATGTGCGGAGAACGTCAACGACATAGGTCATAGATGCATAAAGTGACCTCCTACTAAGAGTCAACTAGCATCTCCAGTACGACTATAATTTACATTTTAACCCTATTCCTGGCGGGCTCCGCCGGGACAAGAAACTGGCGGGGGGGGGCCGATTCGGCCCCCCCCCCTGAGATCTCGAGAACGAATCAAGATAGCGACAAGCGGTAAACGGCATCGGATACGCACGGCCAAGATCTACAATTTTTACTAAGGTCATTTTCAGGTCAGGTCAAAGATGACGTCACAGGGGTCGAAAAAGTCAAAATGGCGGCGCTAGATATGGAGAGAGTTTTTCTCGAATAACTTTCGAATTAGTCAAGATAGGAACAAACTAAGGGCATCATCGTGATCCTCTCGTCAATCCGCATCGAATAATATATATGTTGACCTCGAAAGGTCAAGGTCAAAGGTTGACCTCAGGTCACGTGACCTCGAGGTCATCATGTATATCATTCCATGCGTCTTGACGAGCTGAACACAATGAGACCATCCACGCGTCTGTATCTTGTTCCTGTACGGAGTTATTGGCCAAAAACCTTTGGTGACCTTTGATGACGTCACATGACCTCACAGCTGCCCAACAGCAAAACAGACCTCAAGGTAGTGAAGGTTGATCGTATATGAAGTCATGTATGGTATATGGGGCCATTCCGACCCGTTTTAGTGGTAAAAACAGGGAGTTGATTTTTCCCCCATTGACTTATAATGGGGAGGTCGCGAAATTGACCTGACCTTAGGTCACCGATATCAAAATTCCGAGATATACAAATTGCACATACTGGTACCCTAACTAAACCCTGAAGAGAAGAAATTGATCGGTCAAAAACTCTAGCTCTGGCGTGATTGCAAACTTTTCTGAGGTAGGGTCACCAAACCGCCTCTGGTGACCTGACCTGAGGTCAGATCAACTCAAAATTTTCAGACATGTTGCGTAGAAGCCTTTTAGGAAAAGTCAGAAAATTTGAGCTTCCTAGCTCAACGCGTTTGGGAGAAATAACCAAAAAACCTCAGGGGGGGCTCCTGAGGCCCCCCCCCCCCCCCGCCAGGAATAGGGTTAATGCTATTATACCCAGAATTGGAATGCAATGGCACACAATGTCTCGCTGAGCTTGTCCTGCCGACCTTGCAGCCGTTGGTGGCCCACTGCTGGGTGGTGTCGTTCCAGAACTTGCAGGCCGGCGTCGCCATGCGCACCGAGTAGCTGCTCAGGTTGGCGAACTGCCACGGGCTGGGCGTCGAGTGCTTGCGGTAGTCGTACGCCTTGGTGGTCTGCTCGGGAACGTCTATCTCGGACTCGTTCACTGCCGGGAGCGGTTAGGAGAGATGAGCTCACCATAAATATATCGTCACAACCCGAATTGTAAGGCTATATATTCTAAAATGAGGACGAAGTTAAAATGAAAAATGCGCTTCTCGGAACTAACAATTTCGTCCATAAGCGATATGTCACAGATCAGCGTTAAGTCATCTGAAAGTACGCCTTAGGTGACTTGTGCAGAGGCTCTGTGACTGGCAGAGGTCCGTAGCTCCGCGGCTCGCGCGCGTCACCTTGCTGTTTGACGACGATGCTCCACTGTCCGGTACCGCCCAGCACGCGCACCGCCTCGTTGTTGATGAACACGGTGTGCCGCAGCTCGTCCGTGAGCTGCTCACTCATCTTCAGCCGCTCCGTGGCCACTTTCTGAAACATCCCGCACCCGGCAGTCAGCCGCCCGTGCTGCTCGGAACACGACCTCTGTCATACTGGCTCTATCGTCCAAGCGATTATTATACTACATACTTGTATCACATGTATGCCATGATGCAAAAAAAAAAACTGGCTGATGAACTGAGCAGCTCTCTACTGTCGTCACAGTGAGCGCCCCGGGTGTGCGCGGGCCGTAGCTCACCCTCTGCTCTGCCTGGCTGAAGTATGTACCAGTGGTGGCTCACCCTCTGCTCTGCCTGGCTGAAGTATGTACCAGTGGTGGCTCACCCTCTGCTCTGCCTGGCTGAGGTACCAGTGGTTCTCGTCCAGCTCGTGGGGGATCACGAACGCGTCATCGTAGTCGTCGGCGGCCGCCCGCCGACCTCGCGCCACCCAGACGATGAACGTGGCCTCCGCGTCCGAGGCACTGTGGAAGTGCACGGGGTATCAGATGACGATCTCACAGCATAGTTCACTCCGAGCACATCACTTCATGCAAAGCGGGAGTCTATCGCAATCGCTCTAACACTAAATAGAAATAGTCGAACGATCGACTCATCAAATGACTTATTGCTGTGCCACTGAAGGTGTGTCATCTCACTTGAGGTGGAAGAGGATGCTGCTGTCGTTGCTGCGTATGTCGATGAAGTGGACGGTCTCGTAGTTGCTGTCGCCGTTGGTGTACGGCTGAACGCGGGTGAGCCGAGGCCGGTTCGACTCGTCCATTATCATCCGAATGGCAATCGGGTCGCTGAGGCCCGAGACCTGAACAAAGGCCCCAACTCATTAGACATCGTAGCCGTCACGTATGTAGATGTACCAGATCAGTCCATCACACATGTCAAGGTATTCGGCGAGAACAGCTTCTTCACAGAGCAGGTGTGGTCACTACGATAGCATAAAATGCGTGTTCTGGATACTTTGTCTATCACCTCTCCTCACAGTCTACAGTCTATAGTATAGACTGCGTAGACCATATAGACGCAAGTGGGGCGAGAAGATAGGCTATCTCCTCGCCCCATTCGCGTCCATCTCTCCTCCCCTCTCCCGTCAATCCCCTCTCACCTCCCCGCCCGTCTATTCTCCCTCCCCACTCCCGTCTATCTCCATCACTCTCACGTCTACACCTTCTCCCCTCCCGACTCACGTCAATCTCCATCAGTCTCACGTCTACACCTTCTCCCCTCCCAACTCACGTCAATCTCCATCAGTCTCACGTCTATGCACCTTCTCCCCTCCCGACTCACGTCGATCTCCATCAGTCTCACGTCTATACCTTCTCCCCTCCCCACTCACGTCGATCTCCATCAGTCTCACGTCTACACCTTCTCCCCTCCCAACTCACGTCAATCTCCATCAGTCTCACGTCTATGCACCTTCTCCCCTCCCGACTCACGTCGATCTCCATCAGTCTCACGTCTATACCTTCTCCCCTCCCCACTCACGTCAATCTCCATCACTCTCACACGTCTATACCTTCTCCCCTCCCGACTCACGTCAATCTCCATCAGTCTCACGTCTATACCTTCTCCCGTCCCGACTCACGTCAATCTCCTCCCCCGACTCCTCACTGATGGCGAGGGACAGGACCGGCGTCTTTATGTAGGCCGCCGACTCGTCCCACGAGAACGGGTTCGCCGCCTGCGACATGGACTGAAACGCGGCCAGACGCTCCGTGAGCCGTGAGCCGCAGCGGGGGAGACAGGATGTTATCGGCATCAGCTCAGCAGGCACACAGTGGACTACTATTGTTCAAATGGATGTTTTGCTCATAATATCACAGATATTAATTGGAAAGTCTAATGATTGGCTGGATGGAGTGACTGGATGGAGAAAGTGAGTGAGTGAGTGAGTGAGTGAGTGAGTGAGTGAGTGAGTGAGTGAGTGACTGGGTGAGCGGTTGAGTGGCTCGGTGAGCGGGTGAGCTCAGTCCGCACCTTGATGTCCACCACGCCGGTCAGGGAGATGTTTCCGCCGAGCATCTGTTCGGCCGAGGAGAGCGCGAAGCCGCCCTCGTCCGACTCCACCGTCTTGTTGTCCATGCTCTCGGGCAGGTCGCGCTGGCAGGTCAGACTCATCCCCAGCACCTGGATGGTGACCGGCTCGGAGCCGGGCGACATGGCCTTCAGCACGCCCGACGTCAGCTCGCTGGTGATGTTGTTGACCTGCGGACGGAGGGCACCGCTCCTGAGATGTGATCTGACACACTGTCACAGCGTGGTCGTGTGAATGTGCTGTCGACCATCCGACACTTCGATACATCCACACGATGTCACACTTGAGACACAAGCCCTCAGTGACGGCGGCGAGTGGGCCCTACCCCCGCTCGGCAGCGGTAGGTAACCGCAGCCACTCACCAGCAGTGTGATGGAACGCAGGGTGTCACGCTGCTCGCGGGCCGTCCCGCTCTCGGCGCCGCCGGACGCATCAGACGTGACGTTGGTCCCCGCCGAGCGCTGGGCGGCCGTCAGGACGTTACCGACGGCACTCAAAATACCTGCCGGACACGGCCGGGGGACACGATGCGTCAGAGGTTCTGGGTGAATGAATGAATGAATGAATGAATGAATGAATGAATGAATGAATGAATGAATGAATGAATGAATGAATGAATGAATGAATGAATGAATGAATGAATGAATGAATGAATGAATGAATGAATGAATGAATGAATGAATGAATGAATGAATGACGAGTGAGACGAAGCAAACCACCCCCGGTGGCTGGCGCTGGCGGTTTTCTGCAATAGGGTGTTCATGAGAGTACGCACCGGCGGCGGCGTCCACCACCTGTTCGCGCGGCGCCGCCGGTCCGGCCGTGAAGCTGACCAGCTGGTTGGACATGAGCGCGGCGAACTCCAGGGTACGGTTGGTGGTGGCCGGCGATACCTCACTCGGCTCTCCGGTGGCCGCTCCCAGCGCCCTGGGGAGGGGGAGGGACGGGGGGACCTGTTAACGGCAGCACTTGAGGGGCTATAACTGCTATTGAGCATATGTGACCGCGCCGGGTTCAATGTTTGAGTGCATCCAATAAACCGAATGGGACAAAAAAGCGAACGACGAAGATGGAGCAAACCCATGGAACCTGGGGGCCGCATAGCAACAGCGCTGATACTAGAAAGGGAGCCGACTCCTTAAAACAAAACAATTGACCAGAGCCAGAACGATGCCGGGGATCTAAGGAAATTCAGCTTGCCCTACCAAAGTCCGTCTGAAGCCCCCCCTGCCCCCGCTGGGAGCCCACCCAGCCCCCCGTAACAGGTGAGGCGGGGTCACGCACGAGGAGGCCGTCTCCAATTGCTCCAGGCTGTTGACTGGTGACGAGGTGATGGCCTCGACGAACTTGTCGCGGAGCTCGGTGCGCTGCTGCCGCGGGCTCACGGTCGTCTGGTTCGAGGCCGGCGCCGGCGTCGTGCTGTTTGTGCCATTCATAATCGGACCCTGAAAACAGGCGCCACTCTAGATCAAGAGCCGATCATAAACGTTGATTTCTTGAACGTGTTTGATATTCATATACCGTCATCAATTTAGACTTCATCAAGGTCCTATCACGGCACATTAACTCTTTTGTCCTTCCGTGGGTCATAACTAAAGCTTGACACGACAATGTCGCTATTGAGCAGAGCCTCACTAGCTTATTAAGCCTAATCATAACCGTAAAGTCTTTGGCTGTTCAGGCTCCCACTAACTCTCGTCCCCCTCCCACTGAAGCGGGATCACCCATCCCGCTGAAAATTGAGAGGCAGCTCTCCCCCTCGCCGGGGGTCAGGTCACTGACCTCAGTGACGGCGGCCGGCTGCTGGGCGGCCTGCTGGTTCAGCTGGTGCGCCATGTTGGTGATGATCTGGCTGGCCTGCTGGGTCTGTCCAGCCGACATCAGGCCCTGCACGCTGTCGCTGGCGTCTGTGATCAGCTCCGTCATCTGGTCCTCGGTCAGCTCCGGCTCCGTCACCTGGGAACAGCCGGCCGGCGGCGGTGACCGCGCTGTAAATAACACATCCCGGCTGTCCGCGGCTCTGTCAGTGAGAATATTGCACTTCTGCTATTGTATTATGCTGAGACACGCGCCTGGTGTGGCGGCGGGCGCGGACAGGGCGGTTCCCGCGGCCACCCACCTGCACACTGACGGTCATTTCCTGAAAGTCGCCGAGCGGCTGCACCACGCGCACCAGCACCTGGTGACTGAACTGGGCGCTGGCGTTGCCGGCGGGCAGCGTGAGCCGCGTGCCCTGGGGCTCTGCGCCGTGTGAGAAGATGCGCCGGCCGCTGGGCGCCTCGGCGCTCAGCAGCCACGACAGGTAGGTGAGCCCGTCGGCCGTGTCTGTGGTCGGGTTCAGCCAGCCGGCGCAGAGCAGCGCGAACTCCGTACTGAAGGCCACACCTGCGGATCGCCAGCGAGAGGGGTTCGGTCGGCGGCCGTGGACGGGGGGGGGGCAAATGGGGCACTCGGATGGCAGCAGTGAATAGTGCGGTGAACTTGGTCAGGAATGGGTGTTGAATTCATAGCAACGCCAGCTTATCATTTTCCGTCACCAGCCGTATTCATTCAGTTCCCGTAAATTACCATTTGAAGCCACGGCTACAAATCGCAGCCATTCATGTGATTCCCTGCGTCTGTACCCGTCCCCCGTCCCGTCCCCGTACCAGCCCCCGTACCGGGCCCGTACCTGAGGGCGGGTCGATGCTGCAGGTGCCCCCGTACGGCGGGCTGCTGGTCACCACCTCCTGTTCGGTGAACGCCGTGGCCAGGCCGGGCGTTTTTCCGTACAGCTGCATCACGTACCGCGTGCTGGGTTGCAGTGAGTACGGGCGAAGAACCAGACCGCGCGAGACCAGGCCTGGAAGAGACGAGGTGACACTGAACGGCTCGATGAGCGCTGTTATTTTGACCGAGCTGTCGAGTTTGGCTAGAGCATCCGGTACTGGATATCGTACCAAATAATTGGCCATTAGCTGATGAAATCGCAGGTCCTGCATTACACAAGGCTTCGTCCTCCGTAAAACCAGCGAACGGTCATGCAGCGCGTTAGATTCTTCCCTAATCGATGATTTATATTGCTTCAAACTTCTAATGCTTGTAATTGCTGGCGAGCCATACGCAGAAACAAGCAACTATAAAAGCGTGCAATTACGAAATTATCCAACAGTCTTGAACTACGACTCTCAATGCATAATAATATAAATTTACAAAGAGCTTTAGTCTCGGATCCGCAAGAGCTATTATGTTACTTAACGAATAGTCTTTGCTGTCGGCCTTATCGATCAGACACCTGCCGCGGACCCTGGCTCGGCGGCCGTTTCTGACAATGCTGCGCCGCCGGGCAGCGGTGCTATGCGGCACAGTATACCCACAGTGACGAAGCCCGATAAATCGGCGGCGGTGCGGCTGTTCGGGCCGACACTGCCGGATACCCTGCCTGCCCCGCTCCGGCTGCTCCGGACTGCTCCGCTAACCCGGAGGTCGGACTGACCTGCTCCCTTGGTGAGGCTCTCAGCGTCCGGAACCGGCTCCCGGTGGCCGGAGCCGTTCACCCTGTAGATTTTCCACTGGAAGAGAACACTCCGCTGGCACGACGGACACTGGCCCAGCAGCGAGAGCTCCCGATGCGGGCTGGCCAGCTCCCGACAGTTGGTCATACACCTGAATAACGGTCACATGGGAATCGGTCACAGCTTTACAGGGAAAAATAGGATTTGTGGCCTTGTTGTGCTTCTATCTTTTATCTTCTAATGTGTTGCGATGTCATAACACAGTCGCATGCCTATATAAAGACACGTAAAATACGGTAAGATTTACATTTTAGTATCTACATACACACTGATCGCTGATCTATGGGCGAAAGAAGGGTCGGAGACTCGGTATCATAGGCGTCGCCAGAGATTGTCGGTTGGGGGGGCAAAATCAACTTTTGTGTCAAAACTTGCCTTTCCCCAGTCTTTACTCACTCGTTTTACATATCATTCGACGCGCAATGGTGCGAGGAATCCGATGGTGACAAAGGTTTCCTTCTAGGTATGACATGTAATTTTTTACAGAAAAAAATCGAAATTTTGAAATTTCATAACAAAACGACTGGTAGAATTATAGTGGCTGCGATTGCCGACGCACTGCAGAGGGCCCCTGTGAAGACGCTCGACGCTCATGATCATTACCCATTAAGAGGTGAAAAACGCTCCATTTAATCGGATCACCCTGCTAGAACCTCCATTCACGCATGCATGCAGAGGTTTTACGTGAAATGCATAGGACTTATCCCAGCCGCCGATCGTAGCTAAGTTGGGCATTCGGCGGAGAGTGAATGTCGGAAGTGTGAATCGGAATTCGGAAGTAATTCATCTTTGCTTCAGTGAGATGAAGTGTTTTGTTCACTCGAGTGTGAACAAAAGTTTCTCGTTTTTCGTGTGAAGGGAAGCGCTGCAAACGCGAGCAAAAACTGTTAAACGGAACCAAAAGTAACGCACGGCATAGCGGCAAGGGATCCCGTAGAGATAGGTTTGTGACTTCCAGGCCATTTCAGGCCACTCAGGGTCAGTACTGACTCTCAGAAGCCTGCTTAGGATCCCGGAGATCGACGTGGGTCACCTCAAATATTTACGTGTACGTGGTGCTTTAGGGCTTTCCGAGCCCAAGATGGGGCCCTCAGAAGCAGTGTGGGCGGCGGGCGCTAAGAGACTAGGCCCAGGGTGAGCCTGGAGCCCTCGGATAGCAGTGTGAACCCTCGGGGTCTGTGTCGAATCCCTAAGGACCCTACGTAGGGACATAATAAACATGTGTTGCGGACCTCAGAGGGACACGTGGGCTGTGACCCCTCAGATGCCGGCTTGGGGTTGGCAAAGTCTGTCGCCTCAAAAATTTGGCTGAACTATCAAAGGCCAGTTAAGGTTCTCAGAAATGTTCGAAGGCTCAAAGATCCCTGTATGGGCCCTCAGAGAACATGAACACCAGTGGGACTTTCAGAGGCCGGTTTGGGCCCTCTGAAAGCTTCTTAAGGGCTCACTGGAGCTCCTTCGGAGCCTTTGTTTAAAGCAAGCTCATGAGCCCTGCGACACTTGTACGGTAGGTACTTGAGCCTGTCGCAGACATTTGACGAGTTGAGAAAGGCCCCGAAGATTTCGTTTCACGCTTTGAACAAAAATTGTGTCAGCACTCCAAAACTTATGAAAATCAGCTGTAAAATGTAATAAAGAACGAACTAGGAACATGCAATGAATCACAGCATTAACATTTCCGAGTATGGACTCGGAGTCTTGAAGATTTTGGCGACTGCGAGTCAGACTCTGGTTTGAACTGCACGCTCAAACCGAGTCTGACCTCACAGGCATTCTCAGAAAGGTACCCCCATTTTTTCCCGACTCCAAAATCTCATCGGATCTGTATCGATGTCAGGGGGTGCCCGGTCAGAGGTTGGGGGGGCAAGTTGCCCCGCTTGCCCCCCGTGGCGACGCTAATGCTCGGTATCCTGATCACGAGTAGCGAAAATCCACACCGAGGGCATGCAACTGACGATAGCTCAGTCGCCCGTCGCGCGCTAAAGCACCTCAGTGGCTTAGGTGACACACACGCAGACACGCAGACAGGCACTGACTCACTTGATGTTGGTGGAGGGTGGGTCGCCATCCTCGATGCGGATGGACTGCACGGCGCGCGCTGTCTTGGTGCCGGCCGTCACAAGCACCAGTAGGTGGATGGTGACGTTGTGTGGGGAAAAGTCCGAGCGGAGGTCCAGTCTCCCTGTGGAGGGGCGCAGCAGGGGTCAGAGACTGAGCGGAGGCTGAGACACGAGCATTACAGCGGACCAGCGCAGTGAATTGAGGGCGGATGGCACGCATGATAGCTTGTGTTCACTTGTTCCGAGCACGATATTAAAACTGCTCCAAGATGAGCTCACATTGCGCCTTGCCCTAAGGGCAATGCAGCAGTCAAATCAGTTCCATGTCACTCTGCTTTTGATTACGTTACATCGTAAGGGGTCCCAGGACAATTATAGTGGGTGATGCACAACAATCGCTTCCTTGCTTATGAGGAGTAATCCTCCAACCTTGACCTTATTTGCAATTTTAAAACATTTTAAGCTTAGCTACAAAGGAATCAAAATGCTGTAATAAAGCTGTCGATAAAATCGATATCAACTCGAAGAAATCATTGAAACAAGTTTTAAAACGTGCTAAAAAATGTCAGTTATTGCGCTTTAATTGGTTTGCTGGTGCGGCAGAGGGTTCCTGAATCTCCATGCTTTCAAAACCATCCATTTCTCGTCACCTGGATGCTCGTTCTTGTTACAAAATGTATTGGGCTTTCTATTGACAGCAGTGGTTGGACAATATACTTAGAAGTGCTATCAAAAATATTTAATGTAAGTAGTTAAGTCATTTTTACGCTGTTAGGGATGGCAGTACCCCTTGCGAGGATCAGGGAAGACGTGCCAGGATCCACCTCTGATTGGTTGGCGGGGAAGTGACTGCACCTTATATTTGGCCTTAACCCGCGCCCTGCTGGGGGTCCTGGATTTCCACGCCCTGCTGGGGGGGGGTGTGTTTGAACACCCCCCCTTGTAACTCGGCTCCTGGGCCACGTAGCGATACGCGGAAGGCGGCGTTCGAAAGAGCGTCAAAAATAATGAGGAAATCACTTCGGTCAATTTTTTGGTCAGGTCAAAGGTCAGGTCACCAGAGGTCATTGAAGGCAAAATTTCGCCGATTTCCAGGTCGAATGTCGAAAATTTCCAAGAAGCCAACGCATAACTCGGGAACCAATAGAGCTGCAGCGCCGCGGAAAAGCGCATTCGATAGCCCTATTAATGCCCTTTCTGAGTAATTCCCTCAGATTTGACCTAACGTCAACGGTTTTGCCTGCAGGGGGCAAAAACTGCAAAAATAGCCGATTTTTTCGAAAACAGTTTTTCTGCAATAACTTTTGACCCAAGCCTTGTACGAGCTTACTTTTACCGGCATCGTGTTCCTCTCGTCAAGACGCATCGAATGAACTATGACTTGACCTTGAAAGGTCAACTTGAAAATTTGACCTCAGGTCAAGGTCATGACCTGACCGGAAAGGGTCATGTTGCATATCAGTCGATCCGTATCGTCGAGCTGAACACATCTAAGGCGTTTTCATCGCTCTAGCATGCCTCTATCAAAAGTTATTTGCGAAAAACTGTTAGATACCATTCGTGACCTAAGATGACCTCAGGGCATAAACAAGGGTCACGGACACCATGTTCAAGTTCAGTGTGTCTAAACCACTTGTAATTCGGTGTTTGGGAGTGTTTATAATGTCTTTCATCCAAAAGAGGCGCATTTCAATTTTCTCCCATTGACTTATAATGGGGAGGTCGCAAAATTGACCTGACCTTAGGTCATCGATATCAAAATTCTGAGATATACATTTTGTACATGCTATTGCTCTTAGCAATCGCTGAAAGTTTCAAAGTGATCGGTCACTCGGTGTAGCTATGACAGACATTGAAAGTTTTTATGAGGTGAGGTCACTTCAAGTGACCTGGTGACCTGACCTTGAATGACCTTGGTCTGAAATTTTCACAACATGTGTAGAATTGATGTATGATAAGGTGTACCAAAAACGGCGGCGCCGCCGTTTTTGAGATATTCGCGAAAAACCACAAGGGGGGGTGTTCAAACACCCCCCCCCCCCAGCAGGGCGCGGGTTAAGTCAAATCACAAATACATTTAGCTGTCTTACGTAAGGAAATATCAATGTGTTTATACAAACATTACACATCAAAGTATACTTAATCGCTTCAGCTAACCAAGGAGGAAAAATAAATTTCACAATTTAGGTCATTTGCTAGACGTTGATACCATGAAAGAGTATGCATCACTTTGAACAGAAATTGGCCAACAATCATGACCGGACGTCTGGGCCTGATCGGATGCCCCACCTGTGTTGTTGCTGACGGCCAGCCGGCCGGGCCCCGTGCCGAAACAGCCGCCGCCGTCGTTGGTCTCGTCGATGAAGATGGCTGTCTGCGGCAGAGCGATGGTCTGCGCGTGCAGCGGGTCCGGCTCGGCCTCACCCTCTCGGTAGCAGAGCCAGGTGAACACCCAGCTCCCCGTGTCCTCCGGGATGTCGGCGTCCGGGTCGCTGGACAGCGAGACAGCGTCCACGCTGAACTCGCTGCCGAAGCCGATGGCGCGGCCGCGGCCGCCGACCAGTCGCAGTCTGAGCGGCGCGCGGCGCACGAACAGGTACACGCTGGCCGACTGCCACACCTCGGGCACTGCCGTCATCGTCACCGTCAGCGTCAGGTTGTAGAACGCGCCGGCCTGCAGGGAGCCGGCCGCCAGCATCACCGAGGTGAGCGCGCCGCTGCCGGCAGCCGACAGCGCCGGCAGCGCCACCGGCGTGTTCGCGTACTCGAGCTCGCTCACACGCGACAGCAGCGACGACGTCCAGACGAACTCTGCCGAGCTGGAGGCTGGGCAGTTGAGCGTCACCTCTCGGTTGATGAGGACGTTGTCGGAGCGGGTGTGCACGCGCGGCTGGTCCACCGTGCCGCCGGAACCCTCGATGTGCACCGATGGATAATTGCAGGGCCACGATGTGATTGAGACGGTGCTCGCCGTGAATGACTGCGCGATCGAGTTGAACGCCGTTGCCTTGGCGTAGAACGAGCCGGAGTGCGGGTAGTCGTGGAGGATCACCATCGGGGTGGAGACAGCGCCGCCCTGCACCGAGTACACCTCTCCCGGGCTGATGTCCTCCAATATGTTCTGGCACGTGCTCTCGTCGGCGCCGTAGAGCGCCTTCTCGCCGTCCCCGAAGTCGAGAAGCAGACAAGTGGCCGTGCCGAGCCGCTCAAAGGTCAGCGTCAGCGGGACTGACTCGTTGAGACGGTGTGGCCTGTCGCTGGTCAGACTTTTGACAGCCGTGCGCTCCAGCAGGTTGACGCTGATGCTGGCACTGACCGACGACAGGGCGTTGGAGGCGGTCACCAGGAAGGTGTGCGCGCCGGCCGAGGGAGGCCGCAGCGTCAGCTCCGGCTGGCGGCTCGTCCTGGTGACGTCAGTGCCGACACGCTGGAAGGAGTAGGTGACGCTCGAGCCCGCCGACAGGCTGGCCGACACCCTCACGTCGTGTGTGGCCGGGTAGGTGCCGTTCGGCACGCGCTCGCTGAAGAACGTCTCGCCGGTGAGACGGTTCACGCCGGCGGTGCGCAGCGTCAGCTCGCCGATCCTCTCGAGCACGACGAGCTGCGCGGTACGGGTCCGGGAACCGAGCGGGTTCGAGGCCGTGAAGCGGACGGTGAACTGGCCGATCAGGGAGTGCGCTCGCTCCACCACCTCCCGACTCGTCGCGTTGCGGATCGTGCTGACGTTGCCGTCGCCGAAGCTGAGTGTGAAGGTCAGGTCGGATCCCGCGGTCGCATCGAGGGTGTATGTGTTGGACTGCGAGGCCAGCGAGGCGTCTGAGGAGAGCTCCAGCGAAATGTCGCCGATTGGCGCCACCAGCTGCATGACGGCAGACAGGACTGCGGAGCTGGCCGCGTTGGAGCAGTTAGCGGAGAAGGTTCGGGTGCCCGGCGACACACCGGCAGTGTCCAGCGAAATGGATAGTGCTGTCAGCGGTGACAGATTTGATTGCGCGGTTCCCGAGCGGTCTCCAAACGTCCACAAGCAGGTGACGCCAGAGAACGAGCCATCCAAACTGATAACTTCAACTGCAGTCCCCGTCTCGATGTTGACAAACTCATCTGCAGAGAGGCTTAACTTCCCCGCCAAAGCTCTTCGAACCAAAACCGTCTCTGGAATCGTGAAGTTCACATCACTGATGGCATTGGCAGCTGAAAGCTCAACCGTGAAGTCGCCTTCATTCTCGTAGACATGGCTCGCGTACATCTCTGTTGTGTCGTTGACGGTTTGCGTTACGTATGAGGCGTTCCCGTCACCCCAGTCGACTGTGAGATGCACCACAGAAAAGCCGTCCAGCTCAGCCGCTAGGGAAACATCCTCGCCCAAGGTGACGACCTGAGGATCGACGGCGGCCACAAGGCTTTGGATCGGCTCCTCGAAGATCAGCTCTCCGGAGAGGGTGAGGTTGCTGACGCCGTTGGCGAGGGAGGCGGTGACGGTGTACGTGCTGTTCTCCAGCCGGCTGAAGGGGAACGTGTGTGTGAACACGGCCGGGGCGGGCCTCGGGTCGGTGTTGACCACCAAACGGTCCTCGGACGTGCCGTCTCCAAAGGCGACCACCACTGATATCAGCTGGTTCACGTACGCATAATCTGCAAAAATACATAACAAGGATCAAAATGTTTATGAAGCTCAACGGGAAAACAATGTAAACCTGTTGGTCGTTGGTTTTCACGAGAGGGAACATCATCCAATTTCATATGAAATAAACCGATCATTTTTACCCCATCACTCCTCAGAGATCCCGTTGAAGGTATGCACTTATTGTCACGATTTTCGTTGTGAGCTCAATAGTAATGGCGAAAGCGACGGTGAAAGTGCTCCTTCAGATCCGATTTTAGCATTACATTGATGACAGCGTAAAGAACGAAATGAGCGACCAACCATTAGATCTGGTGGTTTCCCCCTTTTCACTCGTTCTGATCTGCTAGTGATGAAAACACGTAGAAATGGTTTTCGTCTTAGCAGACGCTGCCAAATACCTATCTTCGAATGTGTACTGCAATTTGCCAGTCACTTCAAAACCACTCCACCTACCTCCGAATGACAGGCTGATCTCGGACGTAGCCTCGGGAAGAATGGCTGGAGAGCCAGTGGACAACGATATGCCGGACAGGATCTGCTGCACTTCGACGCTGGGCTGCTTTATGAAGCTCGTTTCGCCATTGTTACACTCCACTGTTGCAACGTTAAGTCCTTCCGACTGTAAACAAAAGGCGTAGGATGCTGAGTCACAAGGAATGAATGTGGTTTGTGACTCAGAGTGACAGGTCTCGGTTTTACCGAGCAAGTGATAGTGGTGCTAACTTCTACTTTGTTGAAAACGCATCTAGAAAGATGCCTTAAAAAGATAGAAATCCACTAGACGAGAGACAAAGGTATCTTTGATATTTTAAGCTCAATGGTACAAATCGTCTGATAAGCAGCATGACTTTTTCCGGTCAGGTCCCTGACCTTAACCAAAGAACAAATTGTCCGGCATAACTATAACCGGGAAATCATATCTTTTGCGACGCGTCTCGATAATGCAAACACAATGACGGCAAAACAAATGTCGTTCCATTTGCAGGTCTAACGTTATTTCAGCAAATCGGTTTCCACAAAATCGTTAATTTTGACGGATTTCTCACTGCTTAGAGGCCAAATGACCTTATGCTAAAATCCAAGTCATCCTAAACGAAAAAAATAAAGCTATCGACTTATTCTTCCGCGACAATCACGAGTGTGATACTTGACTTCTCGTAAAATGGAAGCAGCCCTATTTCCTACCTCCTCCCCGTAGGTGTGATGCCTTGTAACTGTGGCGCCGCCAACCACTGTCAGAGATTCTTCAGCGCGTCCAGCGCCCCAGAGGATGACGCAGGTCAGGAGCGACGAGCCGTTGTTAGTCAGCGCCAGGCCCGCAGGGACGCCGACAGCCGCGTACGGCTGCACGAACTCCGCCGAGAAGTCCCGGCCCAGCAGTCCGGTGACTGCTTCGGTGGACGCTACCGCCGTCACCACCTCGGGCGACACAGCAGTAGACGAGGGTAAAGACGCAGAGACAGAAGCAGCAGTTGTTCCGACGCTCAAGCCTATAGATATACCAGGCGAAGCACTACTTGAAGGAAAGGCAGAACTGAGATCGGTTACAGACGAGGTAGTGCCCAGAAGACCCGATTCTGTCGTGGACGTAGATCCAGTAGTGGCTAAGAAAGCGATATCGGTAGTAGCTGCTTCGGAGGTATGAGCTATGCTGAAGTCAGAAGAAACTTGCTCAGTAGAAAACACCGAGGTAAAATCAACTGAAGTCGGTGAAGAATTAGCTGAAGTAGTTTCGGTGGTGGAAATAAGCTCATTGGAGGACATGGAAGAAGTAATGGCTACTGAGCTGGTGTCAGTTGTGATTGGTTCACTGGAGGCTACGGTAGTTACGTCAGATGTAAGTGGAGCATTGGTAACTATATGAGTAGCGTCAGTTGTAACCGATCCAGTGGTAGTTGCAGTAGTAGCTTCACCTAATACTAGTTCAGTTGTAGCTGCAGAAGCCATGTCAGTTGTAACTGGTCCAGTGGTAGCTGTAATAGTGGCTTCAGTTATAACTGGTCCAGTGGCTTCTAGAGTGGTAACTTCAGTTGTAACTGGTCCAGTGGCTTCTAGAGTGGTACCTTCAGTTGTAACTGGTCCAGTGGCTTCTAGAGTGGTACCTTCAGTTGTAACTGGTCCAGTGGCTTCTAGAGTGGTAACTTCAGTTGTAACTGGTCCAGTGGCTTCTAGAGTGGTAACTTCAGTTGTAACTGGTCCAGTGGCTTCTAGAGTGGTAACTTCAGTTGTAACTGGTCCAGTGGCTTCTAGAGTGGTAACTTCAGTTGTAACCGGTCCAGTAGCTTCTAGAGTGGTAATTTCAGTTGCAACTGGTCCAGTGGCTTCTAGAGTGGTAACTTCACTTGTAACTGATCCAGTGGCTTCTAGAGTGGTAACTTCAGTTGTAACTGGTCCAGTGGCTTCTAGAGTAGTAACTTCAGTTGTAACTGGTCCAGTGGCTTCTAGAGTGGTAACTTCAGTTGTAACTGGTCCAGTGGCTTCTAGAGTGGTAACTTCAGTTGTACCTGGTCCAGTGGCTTCTAGAGTGGCAACTTCAGTTGTAACTGGTCCAGTGGCTTCTAGAGTGGTAACTTCAGTTGTAACTGGTCCAGTGGCTCCTAGAGTAGTAACTTCAGTTGTAACTGGTCTAGTGGCTTCTAGAGTGGTAACTTCAGTTGTAACTGGTCCAGTGGCTTCTAGAGTAGTAACTTCAGTTGTAACTGGTCCAGTGGCTTCTAGAGTGGTAACTTCAGTTGTAACTGGTCCAGTGGCTCCTAGAGTAGTAACTTCAGTTGTAACTGGTCTAGTGGCTTCTAGAGTGGTAACTTCAGTTGTAACTGGTCCAGTGGCTTCTAGAGTAGTAACTTCAGTTGTAACTGGTCCAGTGGCTTCTAGAGTGGTAACTTCAGTTGTAACTGGTCCAGTGGCTTCTAGAGTGGTAACTTCAGTTGTAACCGGTCCAGTGGCTTCTAGAGTGGTAATTTCAGTTGCAACTGGTCCAGTGGCTTCTAGAGTGGTAACTTCAGTTGTAACTGGTCCATTGGTTTCTAGAGTGGTAGCTTCAGTTGTAACTGGTCCAGTGGTGGCTGCAGAAATAGCGCCAGCTGTAACTGGTCCAGTGGTGGCTGCAGAAATAGCGCCAGCTGTAACTGGTCCAGTGGTTGCTATAGTAATGGCGTCAGTTGTAAGATATTCTAGGGTAGTGACAGGAGTGGAGTCAGTTGTTACTGTTCCAGTGGGAGCAACACTAGCAGCGTCAGTTGATACTGGTCTAGTGGAGCTAGTTGTAACTGGCCCAGACGTTAATACAGTAGAAGAGTCTGTTGTAACTGATCCAGTGGTAGTGACGATAGTAGCATCACTTGTGATTGGTCCATTGGTAGTTATAGTGGTGGGAAAAGTTGCAGCTGGTCCATTGGTAGCCAATGTAGTGGCATCAGATATTACCGGCTCAGTGGTAGTTACAGAAGTGACGCTGGGCACTGAAGATGCAGTACTAGATGCCACAGCATCAGCTGATGTAAATGACACTGATGTAGCTGCTAATGTTGTGTCGGTCGCTGCCGGAGACGAAGTGCTACTCGAACTAACAGCAGTAGAAGTCTCATGAGACGATTCTGATGTAACTTGATTCAAAATTTCAAATCCAGAAGCTACTGTGGTTGAAAACGGATTCGAGGAATCTCCCGAGGTAGATGGCAAAGACGAAACTGATGAGGACGTTGATGCAGTAGAAGCTTCATTTGTAAATGATGCTGTTGAAGAACTTCCATCAGCGCTTACCTCTCCGGTGCTACTTACGATTGGCGTGCTTAACTCGTTGGAAACTGTGGTTAAAAATGCTCCTTCAGTTCCAGAATTTGTAACTGTTGAAGTAGGAAATGAAGTGGCATCATTAGCTGATGACAATGGCAAAGTTGCCGTTATGTTTCTAGGTGAGTATGATGTAGTAGCAGCATCGTTACTGACATTTTCTGACACTTGTTCAGAGGACACTGCAGCAGAGAGGTCAGTTGTAACTGGTCCAGTGGTAGTTACAATAGTAGCGTCAGATGTAACTGATCGAGTGGTAGCTCCAGTAGTGGCTTCAGAAGAAACCGATCCACTTGTTGCGACTGTGGTAGCGTCAGTTGTAACTGCTTCAGTGGCAGTCGCAGTACTACCTTCGGAAGAAACTGAGCCAGTGGTAGTTACAATAATAGCGTCAGTTGCAATAGGTCCAGGGGTAGTTAGAGTAGTGGTGTCAGTTATAACTGGTCCGGTGGTAGCTACAGAAGCAGCATCTGTTGTAACTGGTCCAGTGGTAGCTAGGGTAATGTCGTCAGTTGCAACTGCTCCAGTGGTAGTCGCAGTACTAGCTACAGATGAAACCGACCCAGTGGTAGCTACAATAGTAGCATCAGTTGCAAGTGGTTCAGGGGTAGTTACAGTAGTAGCCTCAGTCGTAACTGGTCCAGTGGTGGCTGCAATAGTAACATCTGTTGTAACTAGTCCCGTTGTAGCTAGGGTAATGACCTCAGTTGTAGCTGGTCCAGTGGTTGCTTCAGCAGTGGCATCAGTTGTGACTGGTCTAGTGGTTGTTGTAATAATGGTGTCAGTTGTGATGGGTCCGGTAGTAACTACAGAAGCAGCATCAGTAGATGCCAATCCAGTGGTACTGACGGCAGTATCGCCGGTTGTAACTGGTCCAATGGTAGTGACAGTAGTGACGTCAGCTGTAACTGATCCGGTGGTAGCTCCAGAGGTAGCCTCAGTTTCAACAGGTCCAGTGGTTGCAATGCTAGAAGCGTCAGTTGTAACTGGTCCAGTGGCAGTTGCAGTTGAAGCTTCACTCGTAATTGGTCCAGCTGTAGGTGCAGTAGCAGCGGCAGTAGTGACAGCTTCAGAGGAAGCTAGAGTAGTAGCGTCAAACGTAGCTGGTGCAGTTGTAGCTGTAGTAGCAGCGTCAGCAGTGATAGATTCAGTGGTAGGGACAGAAGTGGCATCAGATACAACTGGTTTAGAAGTAGCGACAGCGGTAACATCAGTAGTAGCTGGTCTAGTTGTAGCTGAAGTCGTAGGGTCAGTAGTCATAGTTTCAGTAGAAGCGACAGTAGTGGCGTCAGATGCAGCTGGTGCAGAGGTAGCGACAGTAGTAACATCAGCTGTAACTGGTCTAGTATTACCTGCAGTAGTAGTGTCCGTAGAAACTGGTCCACCAGCACCTGCAGTAGTAGCGCCAGCTGTAAGTGGTCCTGTGGTAGCAGCCGTTGTAGCATCTGTTGCAACTGTTCCAGTTGTTGCTGCACTGGTAGCTTCAGAAGAAACTGATCCACTTGTTACGACAGCAGTATCGTCAGTTGTAATTTCTTGAGTGCTAGCTGCAGAAGCAGTGTTAGTTGTAGCTAGTCCATTGGTAGCTACAGTAGTAACGTCAGTTGTAGCTGGCCTTGTTGATGTTAGAGTAGTGGTATCAGTTATGAGTGGTCCATTGGCTGCTGTAATCGTGGCGTCAGTTATGATTGGTCCAGTAGTAGCTACAGTGGCAGCGTCAGTAGATGCCGATCCAGTGTTACCAACTGCATTATTGTCAGTTGTAATAGCGTCAGTTGTAACTGCTCCAGTGGTAGTTACAGTGGTAGCGTCAGTTATAGCTGGTCCCGTTGATGCTGCAGTAGTAGCATCAGTTGTGACTGGTCCACTGGTTGATATAATAGTGGCGTCAGTTATGATTGGTCCAGTAGTAGCTACAGTGGCAGCGTCAGTAGATGCCGATCCAGTGTTACCAACTGCATCATTGTCAGTTGTAATAGCGTCAGTTGTAACTGCTCCAGTGGTAGTTACAGTGGTAGCGTCAGTTATAGCTGGTCCCGTTGATGCTACAGTAGAAGCATCAGTTGTGACTGGTCCACTGGTTGATGTAATAGTGGCGTCAGTTATGATTGGTCCAGAAGTAGCTACAGTGGTAGCATCAGTAGATGCCGATCCAGTGGTACTGACGGCAGTATCGCCGGTTGTAACTAGTCCAATGGTAGTGGCAATAGTGACGTCAGTTGTAACTGCTCCAGTGGTAGCTCCAGAGGTAGCGTCAGTTGTAACTTGGCTAGACGTAGGTATGGAAGCAGAGGCAGTCGTAACTAGTCCAGCGGTTAGTATATTAGTGTCATCAGTAGTAACCGATCCAATGGTAGCTGCAGCATTATCGTCAGAGGTGACAGATGCGGTGGAAGCTAGAAGAGTAGCGTCAGTTGTAACTGGTTCAGTGGCCGATACAGAAGTAGCATCAGCTGTACCCGATCCAGTGATAGCGATAGTAGTAGTGTCAGCTATATCTGATCCGGCGGTAGCTAGAATAGTAAGATCACTTGTAACTGATCCAGTGGTAGCTACAGTAGTAGCGTCTGTTGTAACGGATCCAGTGGTAGTTGCAATAGTAGCGTCGGTTGTAACTGGTCCAGTGGGAGCTGCAGTAGTGGCGCCAGCTGTAACTGGTCCTGTGGTAGCAGCCGTAGTAGCATCTGTTGCAACTGTTCCAGTCGTTGCTGCAGTAGTAGCTTCAGAAGAAACCGATCCACTGGTTGCGACAGCAGTGGCGTCGGTTGTAAATGCTGCAGTGGTAGTTACGGTAGAAATGTCAGGTGTATCTGAACCGGTGTTAGCTGCTGTAGAGGCTACAGAAGAAACCGATTCAGTGATAGCTGCAGTTACGGCGTCAGTTGTGACTGGATCAGTGGTAGCTACAGTATTAGCGTCAGTTGTAACCGATTCGGCGTTACCTTCAGTACTAGCGTCTGTTGTAACTTGTGCGACAGTAGCTGCAGGGGCAACGTCAGTTGTAACCGGTCCAGAGTAAGCCACAAGAGTAAGGTCAGTTGTAACTGGTCCGTTGGTAGCTACAGTGGTAGCGTCAGTTGTAACTGCTCCAGTGGTGGCCGCAGCAGTAACGTCAGTTGTAACTAACTCAGAAGGGGTTGCAGCAGTAACGCCAGTTGTAACTAGCTCAGAAGGGGTTGCAGCGTTGACCTCAGTTGTAGGTGATACAGCTGCATCGGTAACGGTTTTATTAGCAGCTGTTGCTTCAGTTGTTTCTTGGGATGCCTCTGTCAACATTGCGGTTGTCGTTGCCTCAGTGTCTAGTGAAGTCGATATTGACACCAGTGTGGAAGCTTTCGTGCTGGAGCTTGCTGACTCTCCTGAAAGAAGATTACCTCGTTCTCACCTTAAAGCTACCATCCCAACTGAACTCGCGCACCGACGGGGGGGCGGATATCCGCCCCCCCCCCCTGAGGTTTTTCGTAGATAGCGGGAAAACCGCGGCGCGTAGCGCCGCGAAATTTTGTAGAACTATTTTCTCATCAATTTTACACATAGTGTGCACGTTTGAACCTCCTAACTTTTAAGGTCAGGTCACCAAGTCACTTTGAATGACCCAACCTCAAGTCATTTTTTGCAACTTTGTCACCGTGCCAGAGCTACAGTGGTTGTCGGAGGCCTTTGAAAGTCGCAGGATGTAATAAGGTAGCTACAATTTGTTTATCTCGGAATTTTGATATCGATGACCTAAGGTCAGGTCAATTTCTCGACCTTCCCATTATAAGTCAATGGGGGAAAAATCAATTCCCTGTTTTTACCACTAAAACGGGTCGGGATGGCCCCATAAACCATACATACATGACTTCATATACGATCAACCTTCACTACCTTGAAATCTGTTTTGCTCTTGGGCAGCTGTAAGGTCATGTGACGTCATCAAAAGTCACCAAAGGTTTTTTGCCAATAACTCCGTACAGAACCAAGATACAGCTGCGCGGATGGTCTCATTGTGTTCAGCTCGTCAAGGCGCATCGAATGATATACATGATGACCTCAAGGTCACGTGACCTGAGGTCAACCTTTGACCTTGAACTTTCGAGGTCAACATATATATCATTCGATGCGGATTGACGAGAGGATTACGATGATGCCCTTAGTTTGTTCCTATATTGATCAGTTCGAAAGTTATTCTAGAAAAACTCCATATCTAGCGCCGCCATTTTGACTTTTTTGACCGCTGTGACGTCATCTTTGACCTAACCTGAAAATGACCTTGGTAAAAATTGTAGACCTTGTCTGTGCGTATCCCATACCGTTTACTGCTTGTCGCTATCTTGCTTCGTTCTCGAGATCTCAGGGGGCGGTCATCCACCCCCCCCCCCCACCCCGTCGGTTCTAAGTTGGCGCAGACCCCCGTCGGTGCGCAGGTTAACATTAGAGATACATTAACATTAGAGATACATTTAGTTTTGAGTTGACATAGCCAAATCGGAGCCCCTGACTTGCAATTCAATTGGTTTGGAAGAATACATCTGACGTGTTCTCATCGCTCTAGCACGTCTTTATCAGACGTTATAGCCAAAAAGCTGCTGGTGACCGTTCATGAACTGAGATGACCTCAGGGGCACACAGAGGGGTCACAGGTGCATTTTTCCGATTCAGTGTGTCATGTTTACCTATGAACCGATGTTTGAGAGGGTTTTGAACACCATTCGTCCAAAATAGGCGCATTTCAATTTTCTCCCATCGACGCGTAATGGAGAGGTCGCAAAATTGACCTGACCTTAGGTCACCGATATCAAAATTCCGATAGATACATTTTGTACATATCGTTACTCTTATCAATCGCTGAAAGTTTCAAGGTGGTCGTTCAGTCGGTGTAGCTATGACGAGGATTGCAAATCTTTCTGAGGTGAGGTCACTTGACGTGACCTGGTGACCTGACATTGAAAGCCCTCGGGTGAAATTTTCACAACATGTGTAAAAAAGATGCATGAACAGATGTGCAAAAAACGGCGGCGCTCCACGCCGCCGTTTTTGAGATATCTGAGAAAAACCGCAGGGGGGTGTTCAAACAACCCCCACCTGGCCCTGCGCGGGTTAATTCCCTCCAATGTCCCTGGATCTTAGTTGCAACTCATGCAACTGCATCGTATTGCCAACTGCATTACACAGAAGATCACATTATGATATACAATAATATCTATTCAGTGGCTTACGAAGAGGCGAAACGTACCTGGCTCCGCGTCGGTAGTCGATCCAGTGGTACTGACAGTGGTAGCGTCGTTGGGAGCTGGTCCGGTGGTAGCCTGCTCCGTAGCTGCAGCACCTGTGCCTGTGGTCGTGACAGAGCCGGCGACCGCAGCAGTGGTGACCGTAGCACCACTGTCCGTGGTGGCTAGTTCAGCAGAGCCCTCCGAAGTGGATTCGCCTGTAAAAAGAACCGGTGTAGCCGCTAAAGAAACGCCAGTTGCAACTGCTCCAGAAGGGTCAACGAGAGTGACGTAAGTTGTAGTGGGTCCAGTTGTGCCTACATAACTGGGGTCAGTTGTAATAGCTCTAGTGGTTACTATGGAAGTGACATCAGTTGTAACTCGTCCAGTGGTCTTCACAGTAGCACCGTCAGTTGTAACTGGATCAGTGGTAGCTACAGTTATGACGTCAGTCGCAACTGGCCCAATGTTAGTTACGGTAGTCGTATCCGTTGTAACTGGTTTGGCGGATGCAACAGTAATGACTTCAGTTGCGCCTGATCTAGTTGTTGAAGTAGCTACAGTTCTTACTTGTCCAGTGGTAGCGGCGACACTGGCGCCAGTCGTGACTAGTCCAGTTGTAGCTACAGATGTAGCGTCAGTTTTAATTGGCCCAGTGGTTCCAAGAGTAGTGACGTCAGTTGTAACTAGTCCAGTGGCATCTACAATATTGGCGTCAGTTGCAACCGGTCCAGTGGTAGCTACGTTAACAAGGTCAGTTGACCCTGGTCCTGTGTTTGTCACAGTAGTAACTTCAGTAGTACCTCGTTCAGAGGTTGTTATAATAGTGACGTCATTTGTAACTGGCCCAGAAGTGGTAGTTTCGTCGATCGTTATTGCTGTAATAGCACTAGCATAAGTTGTAAAGGGTTCAAATGTAGCCACGATAGTAGCGTCTGATGTGAATAGTTCGCTGATATCCGTCATAGAAACGTCAGTTGTACCTGATCCAGTTGTTGTTGCATGAGTAGATTCAGTTGTAGCTACTCTTGTAGAAGCTACTGAAGTGGCGTCATTTTTAACTGTTCCAGCAGTAGCTACAGAAGTGGTTTCAGTTGTAACTGACCGTGTGGTAACTTCATTAACAGGGTCAGTTGTAACTGGTCCAGTTCTAGCTACCTCAGTTGAAGCCCATCCAGTGGAAGCGATGGGAGTAGCGTCAGTTGTAACTGTCAGAGTGTTAGCTACAAAAGTGGTGTCAGTTGTAACTGTTCCAGTGGTTGTCATAGTCGTGGTGTCAGTTGTAACTAGTCCAGAATTGGTTACGGAAAAGGAGTCATTTATAGCTGGTCCAGTTGTTGTTTCAAAAGCAGTTCCAGCTGTAACTTGTCCTGGGGTATCTGCCACCCTGGCATCAGTTGTAACTGGACCAATTGCGATTAAAGTAGTAGCCTCAGTTGTAACTTGTTCAGTGGTTGATAAAGAACTGATGTCAGTGGTTACTGGTCCAACGGAGGATATATTAGAGGCGTCAGTTGTACCTGGTCCAGTTGTTGTACCAGACGTAGCTTCAGTAATAGCTACTGTTGTGGAAGCTACGAAGGTGGTGTCATTTGTAACTGATCCAGAAGTAACTATAGTAATGGCTTCAGCTGTTACTGGCCTAGTGGTAGCCACAGTAGTGGCGTCAGTTGTAACTGACCCACTGGTAGCCACAATAGTGGCGTCAGTTGTACTCTGTCCAGTGGCATCCGAAGTAGTGGCATCAGTTGTTGTAACTGGTCCAGTTATTTCTGCAAAAGTAGTTACAGTTGTATTTGGTCCCGTGGTAGGTGCGACACTGGTGCCATTTGGGACTGGACCAGTAGCAGTTACAGCATTGGCGTTGCTTGTTACTGATTCAGTGGTAGTCTCAGAAGAAGCATTAGTAGTAACTGATCCAGTGGTAGCGACAGTGGTAGCTTCAGTTGCAACTGCTCCAGTGGAAACTTCATTAGTGACAAACGTTTTAACTGATTCAGTGGTAGCTAAAATGGTTGCGTCAGTGGTGACTGGTTTAGTACTCCCATTGCTAGTTACGTCAGTTGAGACTGATCCAGTCGTTGCTGCATAAGTAACTTCACTTGTAACTTGTCCGGTGGTACCTTCAACACTTGCGTCAGCTGTGACCGGTCCAGTGGCTGCTACAGTAGTAGTGTCAGCTGTAATCGGCCAACTGTTAGCTGCATTACCAGGTTCACTTGTAATTGGTTCTGTGATTGATACAGCAGTGTCATCAGTTGAAACTGGTCCAATAGTAGCTAGAGTAGCGACCTCAGTTGAAACTGGTTTAGTCATAGCTAAAGTAGTTTCGTCAGGTGTCACTGGTCCAATGGCAGTTACTGTAGTAGCGTCACTTGTAGCCGATCCTGTAGCAGCTGTAACAATAGCGTCTGTTGTAAGTGGTTCAGTTGTTACTATAGTGGTGACGTCAGTTGTAACATATCCTGTAGTAGTGACAATAGTAGCCTCAGTTGCAACTGCTCCAGGGGACTCTACAGTTGTCGCATTACCTGTAAATAGTCGACTGGTAGTTACGGTAGTAGTGTTAAGTGTATCTGGCAAATTGGTAGCTGTAGGAGTAGTGTCAGTTGTAATTGCTCGAGTGATAACGACAGTAGAAGCGTCAGTTGTGACCGATTCAGCGGTAGCGACTGTAGTACCGTCGGTTGTAACTCCAGTTGCATCGACAGAAGTAACGTCATTTGTAACTGGTACAATAGCAGCTAGAGTGGTAGCGTCTGTAATAACTGGGTCCGTTGCCATTGCAGTTTTATCGTCAGTTCTAACTGGTCCCGTAGTAGCTGCAGAAGAGGCATCGGTAATAACTGTTCCAGTGGTAACTAAATCACTGCCCCCAGTTGTAACTGTTTTAGTGGATGCGACAGAAGTAGTGTCAGTTGTAACCGGTTCAGCGGTAACAACTCTAGTAGCGTCGGTTGTAACTGATCCAGTTGCAGTTACAGTAGTAGCGTCTGTTGAAAATGGTCTAGTAGCTACTATGGTAGAAGTGTCAGTTGTAACCGGTCCAAGGGCAGCTATGGTAGTGACGTGAGCTGTGAACGGTCCACTAGTGGTTACGCTAATTAAGTCAGGTGTATCTGACCCATTAGTAACTACATTAGTTGCGACAGTTGTACCTGGTCTGGTGGCAGCTGTAGTAGGAGCGTCTGTCGTAACTGGCCCAGTGGCCATTGCAGTTGTAGAGTCAGTTGTAACTGGTCCAGTGGTAGTAACAGAAGTGGCATCCGTCGAAACTGTCCAGGTGGTAGCTACAGCACCGTCTTCAGTTGTAACTGTGTCAGTTGAGGCGAAAGAAGTAGCGTCAGTCGTAACCGATTCAGTGGTAACCACTGTAGAAACAGAGGTTCTAACTGTTCCAGTGGCAGTTGCTGTAGCAGCGTCTGTTGAAACTGGCTCAGTGACTGCTCTAGTAGTGGCGGACGCCGTAACTGGTTCAATCGTAGCTACAGTAGTTGCATCAGTTGTAACTGGTCCAGTGGCAGCTTCAGTGGTGGCGTCTGTTGTGACTGGTTCAGTGGCCATTACAGTTGTAACGTCATTTGTAACTGGTCCAGTGGTAGCAACAGATGTGGCATCCGTTGAAACTGCTCCGGTAGTATCTTCAACACTGGCGTCAGTTAGAGTTGAAGCGACAGAAGTAGTGTCAGTTGTAATCGATTCAGTTACAGCAACTGTGGTAGCGTCGTTTGCAACTGCTCCAGAGGCAGTTGCAGTAGTAAAGTCTGTTGAAATGGGTCCAGTGGTTGCTATAGTATTGACTTCAGTGGTAGTTCGTTCAATTGTAGGTACAGTAGTTGCGTCAGTTGTAACTGGTTCTTCTGATGCTAGAGTGATGGCATCAGTTGTGACTGGTCCAGTGGCCATTACAGTTGTAGCGTCAGTTGTAACTGGTCCAGTGGTAGCAACAGAAGTGGCATCCGTTGAAACTGTTCCGGTGGTAGCTACAGCACTGTCTTCAGTTGTAACTGTTTCAGTTGAGGCGAAAGAAGTAGCGTCAGTCGTAACCGATTCAGTGGTAACCACTGTAGAAACAGAGGTTCTAACTGTTCCAGTGGCAGTTGCTGCAGCAGCGTCTGTTGAAACTGGCTCAGTGACTGCTCTAGTAGTGGCGGACGCCGTAACTGGTTCAATCGTAGCTACAGTAGTTGCATCAGTTGTAACTGGTCCAGTGGCAGCTTCAGTGGTGGCGTCTGTTGTGACTGGTTCAGTGGCCATTACAGTTGTAACGTCATTTGTAACTGGTCCAGTGGTAGCAACAGATGTGGCATCCGTTGAAACTGTTCCGGTAGTATCTTCAACACTGGCGTCAGTTAGAGCTGAAGCGACAGAAATAGTGTCAGTTGTAATCGATTCAGTTACAGCAACTGTGGTAGCGCCGTTTGCAACTGCTCCAGAGGCAGTTGCAGTAGTAACGTCTGTTGAAATGGGTCCAGTGGTTGCTATAGTATTGACGTCAGTGGTAGTTCGTTCAATTGTAGGTACAGTAGTTGCGTCAGTTGTAACTGGTTCTTCTGATGCTAGAGTGATGGCATCAGTTGTGACTGGTCCAGTGGCCATTACAGTTGTAACGTCAGTTGTAACTGGTCCAGTGGTAGCAACAGAAGTGGCATCCGTTGAAACTGTTCCGGTGGTAGCTACAGCACTGTCTTCAGTTGTAGCTGTGTCAGTTGAGGCGATAGAAGTAGCGTCAGTTGTGACCGAATCAGTGGTAACAACTGTAGAAACAGAGGTTCTAACTGTTCCAGTGGCAGTTGCTGTAGCAGTGTCTGTTAAAACTGGCTCAGTGGCTGCTCTAATAGTGGCGGACGCCGTAACTGGTTCAATCGTAGCTACAGTAGTTGCATCAGTTGTAACTCGTCCAGTGGCAGCTTCAGTGGTGGCGTCTGTTGTGACTGGTCCAGTGGCCATTACAGTTGTAACGTCAGTTGTAACTGGTCCAGTGGTAGCTACAGACGTGGCATCAGTTGAAACTGTTCCGGTGGTAGCTACAACACTAGCGTCAGTTGTAGCTGTTAGAGTTGGAGCGACAGAAGTAGTATCAGTTGTAATCGATTCAGTTACAGCAACTGTGGTAGCGTCGTTTGCAGCTACTCCAGAGGCAGTTGCAGTAGTAACATCTGTTGACATGGGTCCAGTGGCTGCTATAGTAGTGACGTCAGTGGTAGTTCGTTCAATTGTAGGTACAGTAGTTGCGTCAGTTGTAACTGGTGCCGTGGTAGCTACAAAAGTGGCATCAGTTGAAACTGTTCCGGTGGTAGCTACAACACTAGCGTCAGTTGTAGCTGTTAGAGTTGAAGCGACAGAAGTAGTATCAGTTGTAATCGATTCAGTTACAGCAACTGTGGTAGCGTCGTTTGCAACTGCCCCAGAGGCAGTTGCAGTAGTAACGTCTGTTGAAATGGGTCCAGTGGTTGCTATAGTAGTGACGTCAGTGGTAGTTCGTTCAATCGTAGGTACAGTAGTTACGTGAGTTGTAACTGGTCCATTGGAGGCTAGAGTAATTGCATCTGTTGTGACTGGTCCAGTGGTTAGTACAGTTGTAACGTCAGTTGTACCTGGTCCAGTGGTAGCCACAGAAGTGGCATCGGTTGAAACTGTTCCGATAGTATCTACAACACTTGCGTCAGTTAGAGTTGAAGCGACAGAAGTAGTGTCAGTTACAATCGATTCAGTTACAGCAACTGTAGTAGCGTCGTTTGCAACTGCTCCAGAGGCAGTTACAGAAGCAGCGTCTGTGGAAACGGGTCCAGTGGTTGCTATAATAGTGGTGTCAGTGGCAATTGGTTCAATCGTAGGTACAGTAGTTCTCTCAGTTGTAACTGATTCATTGGCTGCTATAGTAATGGTATCATTTGTAATTGGTACAGTGGTGAGTGAAACACTGGCGTCAGTTGTAATTGTCCCTGTGGTTGCGACAGTAGTGGAGTCAGTTGGAATCGGTCCAGTGGTAGCTTGAGAAGTAGTGTCAGTTGAAACTGGTCGACTGGTAGCTACGGTAGTAGTGGTAGATGTTTCTGGTCCATTGGTAGCTACAGTAGTTGCGTCATCCGTACCTGGTCCAGTGGCAGCTGAAGTACTAGCTTCTGCTGTAATTGGCCCGGTGGTCGTTACAGTAGTACTGGAAGTTGTAATTCGTCCAACAGTAGCTGCAAAAGTGGTATCAGTTGTGACTGTTCCAGTGGTAGCTACAACACTGGGTTCAGATGTAATGGTTGTAATGGTAGCAGCAGTAGTAGCATCTGCTCCAACTTCTCTAGTGATAGCGACAGTAGTAGCGTCCGTTATAACTGATTCAATAGTAGTGACTGTAGTAGCTTCAGTTGTAACTGGTGCATTTGTAGCTGCAGTAGTGGCGTCAGTTTCGACTGAAACAGTAGCAGCTACAGTAGTAGCGTCAGATGTATCTGATCCGCCAGCAGCGACAGCAGTAGAGCCATATGTTACATACGTTACTGATCCAGTGGCAGCTGCGGTAGTCACGTCCGTTGTGGCTGGTCCAGTTGTAGCTAAAGTAGTAACGTCAGGGTTAGCTGGTCCAACGCTTGCTACAGTGCTGGTGTCAGTTGTAAATGGTCCAGTAGCAGCTACAATAGTAGCGTCAGTTGTAAATGATCCAGTAGCAGTTGGAGTTGTGTCTGTAGTAACTGGTTCGGTGGTAGCTACAGTCAGTGCGTCAGTTGTATCTGGCCCAGTGGTAGCTACAGTATTGACGCTACTTGCAAATGGTCCAATGGTAGCTACAGTAGTTGTGTCAGTTGAAACTGATTCAGTAGTAGCGACTGTAGAAGCGTCTGGTCCGTTGGCAGCTAGAGAATTTGCGTCAGTTGTGATCTCCTCGGTAGTGACGTCGGTAGTCGATCTAGTGGTACTGACAGTGGTAGCGTCATTAGGAGCTGGTCCGGTGGCAGCCTGCGTAAGGTCATTTGTTGAAGTGGTTTCTGTAGAAGCCGTAGAGGTGATGTTATAGCTAGTTGATCCGGTAGAGGCAACATTTGTATTTTCATTTGTAGCAGCCTCTGAGGTAATCAAGGAGATTTCACTGGTGATTAATGTGTTATCGGTCGTTATGGCGCCGTCCGTTGTCGACGCGGTGGTTTGCACTGTTGTCAGAGAGTTGCTGGTTTGCAGACTTCCTGACGTTTCACTGGTTGTGCTTGACGTAAATGCTTCTGTTACAGGTGGCTGCATTGAAGAAGAAGCGGTGCTAGTTGGAGCTTGAGTGGATGCTGTTGTAGCTGTCTGCGGTGTTGCAGTTTCTGAAAAGGAAAAAATCGTTTTGGAATGCTGCAAACATGCAAAACTTGACTTTTGTGTTGTTTATTTTTTATAATTGTGGAGGTAGGTGTGATGGTATGGGAAATTATTTAAGCAGTTCTTCTTCAGCAGCTCAAATACAGAACTACTTATTATCGGTAGATAATTATGCCTATTGCCTACGTTTCGTTTCCCCGTTTATCAAAAGTCCCGTTTACATAGGCCTCGTTGCCAGATAGTGAAATTCCGATACCGAGACATTTTTTCCACTAATAAGACATTTCAGGCACATTCCGCTAGTTCTGACGACTTATCCGGCCGGGCCGGATAAAAGTTTCTGCCGTCTGGAGAATGCAAAGTTCATGCTAGGGAAGATCTAGGAAAAGCGTTAACAGGGCTATCGAATGCGCTTTACCGCGACGTTGTAGCTTTATTGGTTCCCAAGTTATCCGTCGATGACCTCTGATGACCCCTGGTAACCTGACCTGGAACCTGAACTAAAAGATGACAGCATTTTCGCCATGCTTTTTGACGCTCTTTCGAACACCGCTTATTGTGTGTCGCTACGTCGCCGAAGAGCTGAGTCAGAAGGGGGTTTATTTTTATTTAAAAAGAAAAAACGGCCCGGCGCAGATGGCGCCGAGCACTGGCCCGGCGCGACCGGACCCCTTAACCCGCGCCCCAACGGTCCCCCTGTCCTTTTCGGTCGATATCTCCTAAACAGCTGGAGATATTGCCACCAAACTTTTAGGACCCCTCCGGACACCAATTTTACACATTGTGACTAAAACATTTTCCAGAGGCTATGATAGATTGGCCACAAATGCCGTCAGAATGACGTAATGTTCTGTCATTTTCGACCGAAAAAAGACCTTCGCGAGAAGACCTGTCAGGCCTACAGCTTTGAAGATACAGAAAAATAATCCAGGCATAAAACGTGTAGAATTGACAGGGCTACAAAACTGCTATCCCGGATTTTATAAATTTTAGAGTTTTGACCCCCAAAAATAAAAAACTT